CCGAGGAGATTATCGAGCCATATAATTATTGAGATATTTTGTGGCTACAAGCTTGGTACTCTTATGATCGGCTTCCCTCGTTGAAAAAAAATGAAATTGAGTTTTGGTGGAAATAGTCACTTAATTTCATGTAACATGTACGTTCAAAAGACTGATAAGCTATGTTGGGATTTGAGCGGCTTTAACCACTCCTCAAACTAGAGGACTTTCTCGTGGTCAGCCAGCTCTCTTTATGAAACTTTGCACTGATTTTTTTAGAGCCTTTTTTTGGGTTTGTTTGCTATGAGAGCTTATGTGGTGTCAGATAAGAATAACACGAAAAAGAAAATTGAGTAATTTCTGTGTATATTTCAATAACGAAGAGTAGATGAATCTATTTATAGGCTTTACAAGGATGACTATTTATAGTAACAAGATATATTAATCAATCAGAATCAATCAAGGTATGCACAATCCTGAGAGATATACATAATTAAGGAAAATATATCTCTAATTAACATCCCCTCAAATTCAATGTGACGTAGAAGAAGCCAACTGAAATTTGGAGAAGATATTGAAAACGCCCGTGTGAATGTGCCTTAGTGAAAATATCAACAATCAAATCAATCGATAAAGTGGAGACGAGATGAACGGTGCCGTGGAGCAAGTAATACTGTATAAAATGGCAATATATTTCAATATGTTTGATATGCTCATGGAGAACATTATTTGTGCTATTTAGATCACACTTCAGTTGTTGCAACAAATTACTGTTCCACCGTGATGATGGACGCCCATATCCTCTAACAATTATCGCAACCATAATAATTCTGATTTAGTATCAATAAGAGCATGGTATTCTACTTCCGCGCTAGATCGAGCGATAGCGGTCTGTTTCTTGCTACGTCATGAGATAAGCGAGTTACTTGGAAAGAAGCAAAGTAGTAGCAGGACGGTCATAAACTGATTGACAATGTGAATATCATAGGCGATCGATGTCAGGAAAAGTAACAATGAGGAATCCAAGACTACCAACCCGCTGTTGCAAAAGTGCAGCATTCAAAAGATGAGCCTCGTATTTGCCGTCAAATTTTGTATTAGTCTCAATGAGTCTCATATTGTAGCAATTTTGTTATCAGTGAGTGTAGCAATCTTGCTATCAGTGAGTCCTGCTCGAGAAAGAAGATCGATGGCATATTTCACTTGAGAAAGATGATGGCCAGAAGAATTCGAAGCGACTTTATAAACGTAATAATAAATTACAAATTTGTAAGAATTGTCTCAAATTAACACAATGAAGTTCCCTGTGGAGCTGCCATATTATTACTGGCATCAGACATGAAATACACTTTTTGGTTCGAAGTCTCATATAAATATACTCAAAAAGAATTTCTCGAAACAAATTACTGCCACCAAAATATGGACATTGCAAGATTTCTATGTGTCTGCGGAACAAGTCTAGTGCATGGACTGGAGGAGACGAGGAGTGAAATTATTGTTCTCATTTTTGCCTATTTTCATGGTTGAAAGAAGAAACAATACTAACTCTCTGCTAAAAATAGGTGTATGAAAGATTGTGACAGAAATCTTCTCGCAATTCACAAGGAGATACTTCATTCACTCTCGGAAAACTCTTCTTCCCATTTTCTTGTTTTTCCTCCCTTAACCTCATTTTCTCAGTTTCTCAATCAATCAGCATTACTCCGTTAGAGCCTTTCAGGAAAATTTTGTCCTCATGGAAAAAAGAAAAAAAACTCAATGATTTGAACATTTTCCTGAAAACAACATCTTATATCACTTACAAAAATGAATCCAGGCACAGACTTTTGTTCATAACGGAAAGGTTTTCTATTTACCAATTTTTTTAAGTGATAAAGCTATTATTTTTAGGAAAATATTTTTTAAATCATACATTTTTCGCAAAATAAATGCATCCAAAATCAATCAAAAAGCCTCCTACCTGTGAGTCAAGGGTGAGACTCAATGGTCCTGAAGCTCACTATACCCATGTTTATCTTCTTTTGTATTATTTGAATACTATGTTGACTTATCTGCATTGTAAGTCTGTAGTTGTACATGAGCAAATGGGAAAATTTCAAATGAGGATCCGAAATAGTCTTATTTTCTCAAATAGGGGCCTAAAATGAACCATGTATCAAATAACGACCCGAAATGCCCTCATTTTCTCAAATAAAGGCCTAAGTGAACATTGTCTTAAATAAGGGCCTGAAGTGGCCATCTCAGTCTCAAAAAAAGACCTCACCTCACTAGAGTCAAGGGCATTTTTGTCTTTTAATTTTTTGATTTTTTTTCCTTTTCAATTTTTTTCCATAAAAAACAAACTCAAAAATAAAATAAAATAAAATAAAAAAAACAAGGGGGAGGCCATCCCCGCTCATGGCTGCTGCCCCATCGCCGGTGGGCAGCGGCGATGGCGGGCGGGGTTGTCGGTGCCTCAACGAGGGTCAGCGACCCTCGCTGGCCAGAGGCGAGGGCCTGAGCCGGGAGAGGGCGGCGACCCTCCCCCAGATCTGGGCGAGGGTCGCCGACCCTCGCCCAAGTTTGGGGGAGGGCCGCCGACCCTGTGTGAGGTCTGGTGGCCCTCTCCCAGATCCAGGCGAGGGTCGCCGGACCTTGCCCCAGTCTGGGCGAGAGTCGCCGGCCCTCGTCCAGATTTGGGAGAGGGTCACCGCCCTCTCTTGGCTCCTGGCCCTCACCTCTGGCCGGCAACCCCGTCGGCCATCGCCACCACCCCATCGACAATGGGGCGACGGCCACAGGCGGGGAGAGCTGGCTGCCAGCCATGCCCTTTGTTTTTTTTTTAAATTTTTTAAATTTTTTAATTTTAAATCTAATTTATGTTAAAAAAAATTTTGGACGAAAATGCCCTTGGTTGGCCGGAAAATTTGGCCGGTCAGCAAGCCGGCGATGTGAGGCTTATATTTGAAAATGTTATAGCCACTTCAGGTGCTTATTTGATAACACAAGTTCACTTAAGGCCTTTATTTGATACAAAGTTCACTTTAGGCCCTTATTTAAGAAAATGAGAGTAATTTGGGTCGTTATTTAAAATTTTACCTGGGCAAATTAATATGATCTTTTCTCTGCTTGCCCCGTAGTAATGGGGGCGGTACAATACAGCGCTCCGTCTTTGTCGCTCTTTAAATTGAATTAATGTTCCCGATTGAAGAAAAAGGCTATGATAGGGCCCCATTTCTTTGACTTACCAAGCAATCTATTTACTTTTAAAATAAAGAAAAAGAAACTTGCAATTTTTGGAGCTAAAACAATCGAGGTCGACGGACACCTGTTGGGTCTGCAAATAGTGCTGTCTCTGCAGATTAATTAATGAAATTTAGACGTGAATCTACAGGAAATGCGACTATTCGGTCAACAACTATACTTATACAAAATATATATGTATTATATAAATGGACACGCAATAGATTTTGTCTATATCCTGTGTTTGCAATGCTTAATGAAGCCTTCGTTTTCGGTTTCTTGGCTCATGAAGCCATATGTGACCTGCGGGAGCTGAAATCATATATTTCTTTTATTTGTTATAGGTAATTTTTATATGGATAAAGATATCTTTCTGAACGTGTTGTAATCTTCATGTTTTGTAAGCCATGAAGCTAGTGCGCTATTTTCTTGTCCTAGGTTTTGTTAAACTTCTATATCAAGAAATTAAGAAATTGAAAATCTTCCGCCAAATTTATGAACTCACGAGGGTTCTCTGCTTATTTTGCTTGTACAATAAGAGGAAATAATAAATGTCGCTTCTTAAAATCGATACATTCAATTGGAAGCCCCAAACGACATCTCATCGAATTCTAGCTTAGGACAATAATATTCGATCCTTAGACCAAGGAAAATAAAGTATATTTCTTGTCTGTCGTGACGTAATAAAGCTGCCTAAATTAAACTTTTCATCCCCTTTGTTAAACGGCGCTTACAGGCCTAAAAACTAACAATCGAGCTTGCTATATGCAGTAGCGTTTAATTACTTTATACGTAAAATTATTTGAAGAACATAAATATTTTCAGTTGGCTGCCTTGATTGAGATAATGTAATAGGCTCTCTGTCCACCAACGCAAAATTGAAGATGTCACGTGACTGTCAAAGCAATAAACTTGCACCAAGGAACTCAATCGAACATGTTCGTTTCTCTAGTTATCGTATATTCCCATTTTGCTTGTAGCTAGCAATTATATTATGTCATTGTTTAATACAGGGGTAAGAGCACCCAGCTACATGAAGACTGATGGAATACCTGCAAGTTCATGAACTAGTTTAGTCCCGATCTTAGACAAGTGGTTTTCACTTGGAGTAGTTTACACACGGTTAGTGAGATTTAAATGGGTGACCTTAAGTTCCTAAACTGGAAATCTTCCTATGCTCCAAGCCGCTACCTACTGCGCCAAATATGGGGATTACATTTATTACTCTTAGAGATCGAAAAACTTTATAGTATATGTCTTCCATGCTAATATTGATGATCGAGAATTAGACACTCTCTGAAATAAGCTTTCTGGATTTTCATATAGCCCTGAACTTCAGTTGTTTTAGGAACTTGTGCAATTTTCCTTCATGAAAAAGATAAGCGAACTTAAGGTAGGTAAAATCCCCCACCCGTGAAATTTGTCACCTTAAATAGGTATTGGTGCAATAAAATTAAGTCGTCATTTCATAATTTTCGTTTATCTCGCTTCCTTGAAAGAAAGGAGGGAGGGAGAGACAGAGAGAGAGACATAAATATTCCTGTGACGAGGAACACAGCTCGAATCCATGCAACGTCGAAGCAAAAGTCCATGCAAATTGAGGTTTAGTCTTCCATGTCAGAAGCTAGTGGGGACACATACGAAAGAGGAAGGCCTTTTCTTTCTTCCTTTTCAAAGTCACATGGTCGGAGAGTGCATTTAAGTGCCTCAACACGGTTTATAGTTGGGAAGATGGGCCAAATTTAAGACCCCTCCTCAATCTTTAGACTCATGCTCACTTCTATATAAACCCCTCTCTCCTCCCTCCACTTCTCACCAAACAAATCAAGATCTCTCAAAGAATTTGATTAAACAGATTCACATTGAAGATGATCACTTCCAAGTTGCTTCTCCTTGTGCTCGTTGGTGCTCTAGTTTGCACCTCTGGCTACTCTAGGGTGCGTTTGGGTGAGAAGGGGTCCTCCGAGGAGGAGAAAACCTTCGACCACGGTCCTGGATACGGTGGTGGCCAGGGTGGTGGAGGGGGTGGCGGCATTGGAGGTGGTGGTGGAGGAGGATTGGGTGGCGGTGCTGGTGCTGGTGGGGGAGCTGGCTATGGTGGAGGAGCTGGTGCCGGTGGGGGACTCGGAAAAGGCGGTGGTCTAGGCGGAGGGGGTGGAGGAGGTTTGGGAGGCGGCGGCGGTGGAGGAAAAGGTGGTGGATATGGTGGCGGCGCTGGTGCTGGCGGTGGGATAGGTGGTGGAGCTGGAGGAGGCGGTGGTGGAGGAAAAGGTGGTGGCTATGGTGGGGGAGCCGGTGGTGGATATGGTGGTGGAGCTGGTGCTGGCGGTGGGATAGGTGGTGGAGCTGGAGGAGGCGGTGGTGGAGGAAAAGGTGGTGGCTATGGTGGGGGAGCTGGTGGTGGATATGGTGGTGGGGCTGGTGCTGGCGGTGGGATAGGTGGTGGAGCCGGAGGAGGCGGCGGTGGAGGGTTTGGAGGCGGCGGCGGCGGGGGGCATGGCGGAGGAGCTGGTGCTGGCGGAGGATATGGTGGAGGAGCCGGTGCTGGTGGAGGGTATGGTGGTGGACACCATTAAAGAGTGAGAACCAAATATGAAGATGTGTCTTTCCAAATGATTACTCTATGTTTTGCTTAATTAGTGCTTAAAATGTTAAGGCAAGTACGGCCAGAGAGACGTGTGCCTTGGTCTCTCTTGCAGCTTAAGTTTGATTTCTACGTCTCAATAAGCCTTTTACGGCAAATTAATGTACCAGGCATGCATCTTGTAGTAATCTCTCTCTCTCTCTCTCTCTCTCTCTCTCTCTCTCTCTCTCTCTCTCTCTCTCTCATGCGAAAAATCTTGTTGGGAGACTCCGTCGTGTGCATGTGTATATCTAGTATTTTGCTTTTATTTTAGGAAAGTAAAATATAACCTCATAACCCAAGAGATTGTTGTAGCTCGATAAATGACAGGGCTCTGGCGTGTTGTCATGTCATGAGTTCAACCCCTTTGTTTGCAGCGTGCTACACCAATTCCTTATGGGTTATCTATACCAGTAGAGTTCGAACTTACATTAGGCATGACCATACATGGTGATCATGAATCCTGAGGAAATTATTGAACGAAGCTCAGATACCCTTCATCATATTTTGACGTCATTATTGCAATATTATATAGATAATCATACATCGTGGTTACAGGAGAAAGAAACAATAGTCTGTTGGTATTATCTGATCCATATAGTTGTTGAGATATTATGTGGAGGAGACTGTAATCAATTAGGGACCTGGTCATGGAACGATCATAGATGACTACGGAACTGTCCCTACACGAGGAAGACAATTATTCAAAAACGTGGACAAGTAAAAGTTTGTGTAAAAAAAGGAGAACATATGAGGTTGATGGAAGTTACTTGAGGAAGCATAACTGTTGGGCATAGTCGAGGAGCGGTTATTACACGGAAAAAAAAACAGTATAAATGAGGTCGACGGAAGTTATTTGAAAAAGCATAACCGTTGGACATCATTAAGGAGAGTTACCACACCTTCACTATAAATACCACCAGTTGTGCAATAAAGAGCCTCGCACATATCAAACAAAATGTTATCTTTTAATTATCTTTAAGCTTTCCTGCACAGTTTCAATTTCTGAGTTGTAGTTTTCAGATTCACGTCATCGATTATATTCCCGCGTGTATCTTTATCCCTGTATTGTGTGGCTGATTAAATTCTAGTGTGATATCCCGATGTAGTCAAGCATTGTCGTTGATTAAATTTCGGCAAAATTTGTTTATTGTTGTATCCACTGTACTTTCTGAGTTTTGTTGTCAATTGAATTTTGACACAATTCATGCTTGTATAGTTTCGATCGAAGTGAAGTTGTTGATTCCATAGTTTTCCTGGATATCTCCTGTCCGTAATCGCCATGGAATCCGGTCTCCCCTCATTAAAAATCAAAGAACAACTTTTGGCGAAAGATATGTCGTTGCAAGAGCAATTTCGACGAAACAATTAGTAGATTACGAATTTGTAGAAAAGTGTCTCAAATTTAGCATAATATGGTTCCTGTTAGGGCTGCCGGATTAATACTGGCATCAAACATGAAACTCGCTTTTTGGTTTGAACTCTCAAATAAATAATACCCAAAAAAGATTTCTCAAGATAAATTACTGCCACCAAAATGAAGAACGATATGCACATAAGATGTGTTTGTTTCTCGAAAAATCAATGAATTGGAGAATATTTCCCTAAAATCAATACAGACATGGATTTTTGTTGATAAACAAAAGATTTTCTGTTAACGTGCTATGTTTACTCACCCGCATTGTAAGTCTGGAGCTGTACATGAACAAATTACTATAACCTTATCCCTACTTGCCCTGGAGTAGTGGGGGTTGTAGAATTCAGCACTCCATCTTTATCCCTAGCTCCTTAAATTATATTAATGTTCCCAATTGAAGAAGAGATATTCATAGGGGCCCATTTCTTTGACTTTCGAAGCAATATTTATTACTTTAAACAAATAAAAAGAAAAACTTGCAATTTGTGGAGCTAAAACAATCGAGGTCAACCACCACCGCCCTCAGCGGCTGCGCTGGCTTTGGGCTCCCCTCCCCCCACGAAGGGTAGGAGTTCAAATCCCAGCGCTGGCGTTAGGGATTCTTAAGCGTGACGTCGTGGTGGTGGGTCCTGTGCTAGCGTCACTCCGGGTTTACCTCCTCGGCTGTCGGCCGTGCGGGGGGTTCCCGGGTTACCAAAAAAAAAAAAAAACAATTGAGGTCAACCGACACATGCCGGGTTAGCATATAGGGGTGTCTCATTTATTACTAGCCGGCTAATAAATGAATTTTAAATGTGAATATGCAGAACACCGGATTTACATGGTTCGATCGTAGTGATCTACAAATATGTGAAGAGCAACAATGAATTGTACTTTAAATTAAGCGATACAACGGAAATTACGGCCACACTTGAGTCACTCAAATACTCTCAGTGTTTCCCAATCCCCAATTACATCCAATAACTCACATAGTGTTTAATCTTACAATTCTTCATGAAATAATTTCTCAATCTTAAAAAGGAATTCACAAATTGTACTCATAAGATTTAATTGGCTTCAACACTAAAAGCTCTAAGAGTGTAATTCACAAGCGTAAACTCTTTTTTGATGCTTTTCACAAAGTACATCCATTTCTTATATGGAGGCAAGAATTGGATGCAGAATCGAAAACCTCTTTTTAATTAGAAAACGTATTCAAAATAGGAAACCTACTTGAATTAGGAAACTGTTCTTTTCAGACTCAAACTTGAAACATATTTTCAATAATGAAGCTAGTGCAGGAACTAAAACTATATATATATATATATATATATATATATATATATATATATATATATATATATATTATATGAATGGACACGCAATACATTTTGTCTATAATCTATGTTTGCAATGTTTAATGAAGCCCTCATTTTCGGTTGCTTGGCTCATGGAGCCATACATAACCTCCGGGAACTGAAATCATAAATTTCTTTTCTTTGGTATATGTAATTTTTTTTATGGATGATGATATCTTCTTAAACGTGTTATAATCTTCATGTTTTGTAAGCAATGAAGCTAGTGCGGTATTTTCTTATCCTAGGTTTTGTTAAACTTCTATATCAAGCAATTAAGAAATTGAAAATCTTTTGCCAACTAGCCAACAACTAAGAAAATAATCGCTAAGGCTTTGTTTTATCCTGTTTATTTATGAACTCTCTTGAGGTTCTCTGCTTAATTTGCTTGTGCCATAAGAGGAAATAGTAAATGTCGCTTCTTAAAATCGATACATTCAGTTGGAAGCCCCAAAATACATCTCATCGAATTCTAGCTTAGGACAATTATATTCGATCCTTAGACCAAGGAAAATAAAGTATATTTCTAGTTTGTCGTGATGTAATAAAGCCACTTAAATTCAATTTTTCAACCCCCCTGTTAAACGGCGCTTACAGGCCTATAGACTAACAATCAAGTTTGCTATATGTAGTAGCATTCAATTACTTTATTCGTAAATTAATTTGAAGAACATAAATATTTTTCGTTGGCCGCCTGAATGTCATGAGATTGTCAAAGCGATAAACTTGCACCAAGAAACTCAATCGAACAGGTTCGTTTCTCTAGTTATTTTATATCCCCATCTTGATTGTAGCTAGCAATTATATTATGTCATTGTTTAATCCAGGGGTAAGAGCAGACAGCTACGTGGAGACTTATGGAATACCCTGCAAGTTCATGAATTAGTTTATTGACAGGTGATTTTCACTTAGAGTATTAGTTTACATACAGTTAGTGGGATTCAAATGAGTGACTTCAAGCTGGAAATCTTCCAATGCTCCAACCAACTGCGCCAAATTTGGGGGTTACATGATTTACTCTCTTTAGGGATGGAAAAACTTTATAGTATATTTCCTCTATGCTAATATTGATGATCGAGAATTAGACATAGTCCGAAATAGGCTTTCTGGATTTTCATATTGCCCCGAACTTCGGTTGTTCTAGGAACTCGTGCAATTTTCTTTCATGAAAAAGATAAGCGAACTTCAGGTAGGTAAATCTCCCACCCGTGAAATTTGCCGCCACCTCAAATAGGTATTTGTGCACTAAAATTAAGTCATGATTTCTTAATTTTCTTTTATCTCGCTTCCTTGAAATACAGGAGGGAGGGAGAGACAGAGATAGAGATATGAAAATCCTGAGATAATGAATACAGCTCGAGTCCATGCAACGTCGAAGCAAAAGTCCATGCAAATTGAGGTTTAGTCTTCCATGTCAGAAGCTAGTGGGGACATGCACGAAAGAGGAGAGTGCATTTAAGTGCCTAAACCTCAACGCGGTTTATAGTTGAGAAGATGGGCCAAATTTAAGACCCCTCCTCAATCTTTAGACTCATGAAGAGTGAGAACCAAATATGAAGATGTGTCTTTCCAAATGATTACTCTATGTTTTGCTTAATTAGTGCTTAAAATGTTAAGGCAAGTACGGCCAGAGAGACGTGTGCCTTGGTCTCTCTTGCACCTTAAGTTTGATTTCTATGTCTCAATAAGCTTTTTACGGCAAATTAATGCACAAGGCATGCATCTCGTAGTAATCTGTCTCTCTCTCTCTCTGGTGAACATATGAAAAATCTTGTTGGGGGACTCCGTCGTGTGCATGTGTATATCTAGTATTTTGCTTTTATTTTAGGAAAGTAAAATATAACCTCATAACCCAAGAGATTGTTGTAGCTCGATAAACGACAGGGCTCTGGCGTGTCGTCATGTCATGAGTTCAACCCCTTTCTTTGCTGCGTGCTACGCCAATTCCTTATGGGTCACCTATACCAGTAGAGTTCAAACTTACATTAGTCATGACCATATAGGGTGATCATGAATACCGAGGAAATTATCGAACGAAGCTCAGATACCCTTCATCATATTTTGACATCATTATTGCAATATTGTATAGATAATCATACATCATGGGTACAGGAGAAAGAAACAATAGTCCATTGGTATTATCCGATCCATATAGTTGTTGAGATATCATGTGGAGGAGACGGTTATCAATTAGGGACCCAGTCATGGAATGATCATAGATGACTACGGAACTATCCCTACACGAGGAAGACAATTAGTCAAAAACGTGGACAAGTAAAGTTTGTGTAAATAAAGGATAACATATGAGGTTGATGGAAGTTTCTTGAGGAAGCATAACTGTTGGGCATAGTCGAGGAGCGGTTATTACACGGAAATAAAGCAGTATGAAAGAGGTCGACGGAAGTTATTTGAAAAAGCATAACCGCTTGACATCATTGAGGAGCAGTTACCACACTTTCACTATAAATACCACTAGCTGTGCAACAAAGAGTCTCGTACATATCAAACAAAATGTTATCTTTCAATTATCTTTAAGCTTTTCTGCACAGTTTCAATTTCCGAGTTGTAGTTTTCAGATTCGCATTCTCGATTATATTCCCGCGTGTATCTTGTTTCTGTATTGTGTCGTCGATTAAATTCTAGCGTGATATCGCGATGTAGGCAGGCATTGTTGTTGATTAAATTTCGGCAAAGTTTGTTCACAGTTGTATCCATTGTACTTTTTGAGTTTTGTCGTCTATTAAATTTCGGCACAGTTTATGCTTGTATAGTTTCGATCGAAGTGAAGTTGTTGATTCCATAGTTTGCCTGGATACCTCTTATCCATAATCGTCATAGAATCCAGTCTCCTCTCATTAAAAATCGAAGAACAACTTTCGGTGAAAGATATCTCGTTGCGGGAGCAATTCCGACAAAACAATGAGTAGATTACAAATTTGTAGAAAAGTGTCTCAAATTTAGCATAATAAGGTTCCCCGTTAAGGCTGCCAGATTATTATTGGCATCAAACATGAAACCCACTTTTTGGTTTGAACTCTCAAATAAATAATACCCAAAAAAGATTTCTCAAGACAAATTACTGCCACGAAAATGGAGAACGATATACACATAAGATGTGTTTGTTTCTCAAAAAATCAATGAATTGGAGAATAGTTCCCTAAAATCAATACAGACATGGATTTTTGTTGGTAAAGCAAAAATTTTCTGTTAACGTACTATGTTTTACTCACCCGCATTGTAAGTCTGGAGCTGTACGTGAACAAATTACTATAACCTTATCCCTACTTGCGCAGGAGTAATTGGGGTTGTAGAATTCAGCACTCCGTCTTTATCCCTCCTCAAATTATATTAATGTTCCCAATTGAAGAAAGAGATATTCATAGGGGCCCATTCCTTTGACTTTCAAAGCAATATTTTTTTACTTTAAACAAATGAAAAGAAAAACTTGCAATTTGTGGAGCTAAAACAATCGAGGTCAACCGATGCACATTGGGTCCGCATATAGGGTTGTCTCATTTGTTACTCGCGGACTAATAAATGAATTTTAGACGTGAATCTGCTAGCAAATGCGACAACTAGGTCAACAATTATAAATTAAGCAATACAACGGAGATTACAATCACACTCGAGTCATTCAAACACTACGAGTGTTTCCAAACCCCCAATGACATTCAATAACTCACGTAGTGTTTAGTCTTACAAATTCTCACGAAATAATTTCTCAATCTCACAAAAGAATTCACAAATCTTACTCATAAGATTTAATTGGCTTCATCACTAAAAGCTCTGTAAGACACAAGTTGAAACTCTTTTTTGATGCTTTCCACTTTTTATATATAGGCAAAAATTGGATGCAAAATAGAAAATCTCTTTTTAGGAAACATTTTCCAACTAGTAAACCATTCAATAAGAAAACCTATTCAAAATAAGAAATTTACTTGGATTAGGAAACTTTTCTTTTCAGACTCAAACTCGAAACATATTTTCAATAATGAAGCTAGTGCAGGAACTAAAATTATATATATATATATATATATATATATATATATATATATATATATATTATGTGAATGGACACGCAATACATTTTGTCTATAATCTATGTTTGCAATGTTTAATGAAGCCCTCATTTTCGGTTGCTTGGCTCATGGAGCCACACATAACCTCCGGGAACTGAAATCATATATTTCTTTTATTTGGTATACGTAATTTTTTTTATGGATGATGATATCTTCTTAAACGTGTTATAATCTTCATGTTTTGTAAGCTATGAAGCTAGTGCGGTATTTTCTTATCCTAAGTTTTGTTAAACTTCTATATCAAGAAATTAAGAAATTGAAAGTCTTTCGCCAACTAGCCAACGACAAAGACAATAATCACTAAAGCTTTGTTTTATCCTGTTTATTTATGAACTCACTTGGGGTTCTCTGCTTATTTTGCTTGTACCATAAGAGGAAAAAATAAATGCTGCTTCTTAAAATCGATACATTCAATTGGAAGCCCCAAAAGACATCTCATCGAATTCTAGCTTAGGACAATAATATTCGATCCTTAGACCAAGGAAAATAAAGTATATTTCTAGTCTGTCGTGACGTAATAAAGCCACTTAAATTCAACTTTTCATCCCCTTTGTTAAATGGTTCTTATAGGCCAAACTAACAATCAAGTCTACTGACAGTCATATCGTTTTAGCAAAGGTGCGTAAAAATGTAAGAGGTAGAGCCTCGCTTTATAAAAAAATTAGACCTTCCCAATCAAATGTTGTATTGGCTACTATATGGAAACTTCCTACCTCCATATTTTCGAATCATTAGCTTTATTTGTAATGCTAGGGAATGCCCCTAAGCTGCTGTACTTCATTGGTTTTATAATACTTACATTTTACCAAAAAAAAAAAATCAAGTTTGCTATATGCAATAGCGTTTCATTACTTTACACGTAAAATAATTTGAAGAACATAAATATTTTCATTTGGCTGCCTTTGATTGAGAAAATGTAATATGCTCTCTGTCCACCCACGCGAAATTGAGGATTTCACGTGATAGTCAAAATAATAAACTCGCAACAAGGAACTCAATCTCACAGGTTCGTTTCTCTAGTTAGTCTCAACCTTTGACAGGTAGTTTTCACTCGGAGTAGTTTACACACATCTATTGGGATTCAAATGGGTGATCTCAAGTTTCTAAATTGGAAATCTTCCAATGCTCCAGCCGACTACACCAAATCTGGGGGTTACATGATTTACTCTTAGGGGTGGAAAAATTTTATAGTATATTTCTTCGATGCTAGTATTGATGATCGAAAATTAGACACTGTCTGATATAGGCTTTATGGATTTTCATATAGCCCTGAACTTCGGTTGTTTTAGGAACTCGTGCAATTTTCCTCCATGAAAAAGACACGCCAGCTTTAGGTAGGTAAATCTCCCACCCGTGAAATTTGTCACCTCAAATAGGTGTTTGTGCAATAAAATTAAGTTATGATTTTATATTTTTCTTTTATCTCGCTTCCTTGAAATGAAGGAGGGAGGGAGAGAGAGAGAGAGATACGAAAATTATGATGAACACGGCTCGCATCCATGCGACGTCGAAGTAAAGGTCCATGCAAATTGAGGTTTAGTCTTCCATGTCAGAAGCTAGTGGGGACATATACGAAAGAGGAATGCCTTTTCTTTCTTCCTTTCCAAAGTCACATGGTCGGAGAGTGCATTTAAGTGCCTCAATACGGTTTATAGTTGAGAAGATGGGCCAAATTTAAGACCCCTCCTCAATCTTTAGACTCATGCTCACTTCTATATAAACCCCTCTCCCGTCCCTCCACTTCTCACCAAACAAATCAAGATCTCTCAAGGAATTTGATTAAACAGCTTCACCTTGAAGATGATCACTTCCAAGTTGCTTCTCCTTGTGCTCCTTGGTGCTCTAGTTTGCACCTCCGGCTACTCTAGGGTGCTTTTGGGTGAGAAGGGGTCCTCCGAGGAGGAGAAAACCTTCGACCACGGTCCTGGATACGGTGGTGGCCAGGGTGGTGGCTTTGGTGGTGGTGGTGGAGGAGGATTGGGTGGCGGTGCAGGTGCTGGCGGGGGAGCTGGCTATGGTGGAGGAGCTGGTGCCGGTGGGGGACTCGGAAAAGGCGGCGGTGTAGGTGGAGGGGGTGGAGGAGGTTTGGGAGGCGGCAGTGGTGGGGGAAAAGGCGGTGGCTATGGTGGGGGAGCCGGTGGTGGATATGGTGGTGGAGCTGGTGCTGGCGGTGGGATAGGTGGTGGAGCTGGAGGAGGCGGTGGTGGAGGAAAAGGTGGTGGCTATGGTGGGGGAGCTGGTGGTGGATATGGTGGTGGGGCTGGTGCTGGCGGTGGGATAGGTGGTGGAGCCGGAGGAGGCAGCGGTGGAGGGTTTGGAGGTGGCGGCGGTGGGGGGCATGGTGGAGGAGCTGGTGCTGGCGGAGGATATGGTGGAGGAGCTGGTGCTGGTGGAGGGTATGGTGGTGGACACCATTAAAGAGTGAGAACCAAATATAAAGATGTGTCTTTCCAAACGATTACTCTATATTATGCTTAATTAGTGCTTAAAATGTTAAGGCAAATACGGCCAGAGAGAGGTGTGCCTTGGTCTCTCTTGCACCTTAAGTTTGATTTCTATGTCTCAATAAGCTTTTTACGGCAAATTTATGTGCAAGGCATGCCTCTCGTAGTAATCTCTCTCTCTCTCTCTCTCTATGGTGAACATGCATAAAATCTTGTTGCGGGACTCGGTCGTGTGCATGTGTATCTAGTATTTTGGTTCATCTCAGGACTTTACGGGGTGATTATGAATCCCGAGAAAATTATGAAACGAAGCTCGGATACCCCTCGTCATATTTTGACATTATTACTGCAATAATGTATAAATAATCAATCATACATCGTGGGTACAAGAGAAAGAAATAATAGTTCGTTGGTATTATCTAATCCATACATTTGTTGAGATATTCCGTGGTTCCAAGTTTACGTAATTAAGATCGGCTATGTTTTCGTAAAAAATGAAATTGAATTTTGATGGAAATAGTCGCTTGATCCATGTAGCGTACAAGTACTAAAGACTGATAAACTATGTTGGGATTGGAGCGGCTTTAATTGCTTCCAAACCTAGGGAAATCTCTCGTGGTCAACCAGCTCTCTTTATGAAACTTTTGAGTTTTATTTTTCGGAGATTGGTTTTGCTATCAGAGCTTTAACTTACCCAATCACTGGCTTCATGAAAATAGCATTATTCCTAACTTAAAAGTGCCTAAATTTCCAAAATGATTGTAATTGGCCCCCGAGCATAAACGATCTCCACCTTAAGATTAATATTTTGACTTGTGCTATGGTCCATTTAGTGTGTTTTCATCTGCTGATTACAAATTATATTGGGTTCATCTAGTTAATCAAACGAACATATCTGGACTAAGCAGGTCATACCGACGAAATTGGTGATTTTCATTTATCCAAACATTGTATTGATTAACATCAAAAGCAAGAAAAATGAAGATAGAAACCTACTTGCACTAACTTGTAGTTCCTATACATATGTCCCAATTATTTGGTTATGTGTAACGTTATTTAGATTCTACTACTTGCAATGATGGCCGATGATTAATCACGTAAATGGTAATCGTGAGTTTTGAGTGGTTTTAAGTGTTCATGGCAATAAGCTAAGCAAAAGGTGACGGGAAAAAATAATTATTTCGCCGCCTGTCATGCAAGAGCGCAATCAATCAGCCATTCATCTAACAATGTTCCATCTCTTGAACGACAAACGTGAATACACAAGAAATGATGCTAACACAAGACTGATAATCTAGATGGTTTTTTGTCCGACTACGACTCCGCCAAAGCAAAATACTCGCTGCCCCGCCTGCGATTCTGAGAATCTGATCGGCAATTCTCCCTCTAGATTCTTACTTCTATGCCTTCCTTTAGCAAGTGCTCCTTCACCGACTGAATTGGCACCTACGATCATGACATCGAAGGAATGTCAAGACAGGAAAAACGGAAGATCAAAGAGAGATGCACACGAAATTCAAAACTATCGTCTCAATCTGGATATAAACGGGAACATTTTTCGCGAGGTTACCTCCTTCCGGTGGAATATTCCCGCAGCAAGCGCGGCGGATGCATTGGTCTTCTCGAATACCTCCGAGAAGTGCTCAACAGTGCCTGCGCCGCTACTTGCTATCACGGGGATGCTCACGGCGTCAGAAATCAGCTTCACCAAATCGATATCAAACCCTTTTCCTTGACCTGAGAAGGATGCAAATCAAGCATTGGTATCACGAGCAGAACAAAACACAGAACGTTGCAAGAGAAACTAACCAAAGGACTTAAGTACATATTCGCAAGTAAGACCGATAACCAAGGAAACGCTTCTACTACTTATTAGTCCAGATTCTGAAAGGATCTAAATAACTCATGGAATAGAGCACAGATTTCTCACCATCACAATCAATGCAGTTAAGCAATATCTCTCCAGCACCCAACTCTTCAACAGCCTTTGCAAGCTCATAAGCTCCAATCGGCCGACCTTCTCGTCCTCCATTGACCTTTGGGAAAACAATCAAAACTCGCTCAATTGATCCTATGAGAGCCCATTTTTTTTACCACATAATGCAAATGAGAATATTATAATCTAGAGAACCTTAGTCGTCACTCGACGGATTGCGAAACGCTTAATAACCCTTGGCAGGATACTTGCCTTTTACTTAATTAAGATGTTCACAAATATCAAAGAAATTCTAATTTTCATCTGTTCCAAGCTCACCCATATTTCGTAGCATCTGTTTTCAATCACTTTCTTGCCAGTGCTGCTTCAGTCATCACATCTTTCATCAAAGTTCACATTTTGAAATTGCACACATTTTCCTACTTAATCTTCAAAGTCAATCGTTCTAGTTCAGTATATGATGACCAAAGTAAACAGAAAAATGTAATTCAAATAAGATAGCTAAAATATTGACAAGTGACAATAAAGTAGCAAAAGAAAGCTTACCGTGCACTGGTACCAAGCATAGTCTTCTCCATTTGGACCTAAGACAACATTGAAGCACCAAGAAATTAATATTGAAGTAACAACAAACATAATGCGAACACGAACATTCCTACTCCCTCTAAATGCAGCCCTAAGATAGCCACATGCACAGACAAAGATAACCAATTAACACAAAACGTTTCTTTACTGAAGGGGAATAAAAAGTTCATCAAATCTTGGTCAACCTTGAAAGAGTTAATGAAGACACAATTCCATTATCGGGTGGTTCCAGGCCACTCCAAGACAGAGAAAGATCTCCTAATTAACTATCAGGCAAAATATCTTATAGAGTGGACAGGGTTTCGTGCAACCAAATGACTTGCGTACTCAAAAGTTGACAATATGAAAAGGTGCATTACAAAGTAGGCGTATACCTGGATTTGTTACCCTTGTAGATCTGAACTCCACATCTTCAGGACTATTGATATACATCCTACGAGGATCTATGCTCACTACCACTGCCTGGAAAAAAATAACCAGATAAAAATTACTTCAAATACATGTGTACATGCTCGGATGTTTTATCACTTGATAAACTGTCGATTGCCATTTGATAAAAAACAACCTGTCAATTGCCAAATTTTTGTACTCCCTTAGCAAGAACAAGGGACAAAAGGGCAGGCTCTTAGTGGTAGACAACAATAGAATCCACCATTGGGCCATCCTATTAGAACGTATTGAAACAATTTAAGGAACGAGAAGAAGATTTTTAAGAATCTCTTTTAAGGGGCGTTTGGCAAGTTGCCAAATAGTAAAAATTTCTATTCTTTTGTTCCCAGAATCAATTTGGGAATAGAAATCCATTTGTTAAATATTTTGTGCCCGGGCACAATTTTGCAAAAAATTGTTCCCAAAATCAGTTTTGGAACAGAATCAAGAAGCAAAAAAAAGTAGCTCCTTGATTCTGGAACAATTTTTCCATTGCTGATTCTTCTTGGTTTTCTTCTTCCTTTTTTATTTGTTCTTCGTCTTCTTCCCGGTCTGCCACCGGCCCGCCGCCGCTGGCCCAGCCTCCCCCGGCGACGGCGAGGTCGGCCCTCGCTGCCCCCGGCAACGGCGAGGTTGGCCTCGCCAGATTTGGGCGAGGTCGAGCCTCGCCCAGCCAAGGCGAGGCTAACCTCGCCGTCGCCATCGGCGAGTGCCGCGACGCTCTCGCCGGCCCTGGCCTGTTTGCTAGTCGCCGGCGCAGGCGACCGGCCATGGCCAAGGAAAGAAAGGAAAAAAAAAGAAAATAAAGAAAATAAAAGAAAGAAATATTAAAAAATTCAAAATATTATTAATAAAAATAAATTTTGTGTAGTTACCAAACGCATTTCTGTTCTTTTTCTATTCTACGAATAGAAATTTTGAGCAGTTACCAAACACCTTCAAATGCTTAGAAATTATTTCCGGACACAGAATAAAAAAGAATCATTTCTGAGTAAGATCAGTTCCCGGGCATAGAATCGTTGCCATGCGCACCCTTAACAGGTGTTGGTAATTGGATGACAATCTGCTGCTGCAGTAACTAACCAATGAATTAAAGAAGCTGGTAGGAGTTAACTGATCTATTGTTATATAAGTTTACCTCTAAAGATAATTCGACACAAAAAATGAAATCCAACACGAGCTCAAAGGCAAAAATGTAAAATCAGTTCAACACTGGTTGCCCTATCAAATGACTTTCCAGTGCACTTCAAACCATGCCATCAACATGAGGCTTTCCATGTTCACGAGTCATACATATTAAGATCATCACGCTGCACCTTTGAGTAATCCCTAGTTAAATCAATTACAATATTGGGTGCTTATCAGTCAAAGTATTGATCACAAATATATGACCACAAACAAAGTCTCCTGGAGTTCATAGTAGTGATCCCAAGCATCTGAACACAAACCAAGGCCAAATACAAAACCGTTTTGAGAATACACATAACTATGTGCGTAATTTAAGTAAAGAAATTACCTGATTCCCATAGACTCTAGATATCTGTTCTAAGCTGCTCTTTCCACTCTTCACCTATGAAAGGTGGTCCACAAAGTATCAGCGGAGGAGGAAACATGCTTATTTATCTACCAAGAATGCTCATGGTCAAGAAACTTAGAAAATGTCACGTACTCCTGTTCTTAGATATTCTTCAGCAGCATAAACCGCATCACTGCCTATAGAAATCTTGTCCGCCCCAGATCTAAAATATTCTGAAGCCACTTCTAGACTGGAATAGTACCTGAGAAGTTGTTGAAATGTCATATAACTGTCGTATATCTTCTGACTGCAGTAAAACTGAAACATGCCCAGATCAGGGGCCCAAAATTCAGAGGATATGGAATACATGCATAGTTATGGATACACACTTAAAGTGTATATTACTCTTGGAACACCCCCAAGAAAATACCTACCTGCCATTGGCATCTGTGAAATCTCTAATTCCACCTCCAACAGTTAGCGGTACAAAAACATTTTCTGATGTGTATCTCAATACCTAAAGTCCATTGTGAAAACAAAGAAGAAAATGACAATATCAGAGGGGGGGAAACAAGAAATTTGACATGCATTCCATATGAATATCCGAAAGAAATGAACCTGCAGCATTGGTAAGTCGCCCAGGGGGAAGTCGCGGAAACCAGTAATATTCAGAAAACTGACCTGCCAGCAATATTCAAATGGAATTACTAGTCAACCAGTGGACTATAAGCATCAAAATGTATCTTCAGTTAAGAAATCATACTTCATCTGCTCCATCGTTGTAATACTGCCCAGCAAGGTCCACAGGCTTGCCGAGGTTCCTCACCTGCAGGAAAATGTTATATGAGTGCCTAAAAGTAGCAAAACTGTAATCTTTCTACCACATAAAATTCAGTCAAAAGTACCATGAATGTATGTATAATTCAGCAAAGTGAGACTTTCTGCTTAACTCCCAGGCTATTATATCGAATGTCAAATTGCCTTGCAGTTCATATCCCCCTTTGAAGGTGTAATGTAACTTTTAATATAGGTGCGGAAATATAGAGAATACTACTCTTTCTTTGGTGAACTGAGCTTCTGTTTATGTCTTAGTTCTATTTTTTTTTTTACTTCTCATTATTTTCATGCAAGAATTTACCCTTTTACGTTTAGTGATATGTATTTCCACCGACAGAAAAGGAGAGCTGATAAGTTTTCACACCTCATTCTCTTCCGTCTGCTCTCTTACATCGTATTGGTCGCCTTTGGTAACAACGAGATCTCCCTTGTCATTGGCCCTCACATCAAGACAAGCGATTACCTGAGAAAATTCATCACTAAAAAGTCTAAGCCCCAGATTAGAGAATCAATCACAATGGAGATACAATGCTCAACACCCACGCAATTTGCAACAAACTAAGGCGGCAGCAAGTTGTATAGTTCAAGGGTAGTTTTCAAACAGGGAAAAGCAAAGCCATTCAGAAATCCTCAAGTCAAAGAATGTTACCCTTTTTGCAAGTTTTGAGGCATTCCCTTCTGTAGGCTTCTGTCTTCACATAATTATTCAGTCGTTAGATAATATGACAGATAAGCTCAACACATTAAATGAGCAGATTTCATAGGCACAAATATACCTTTGTTATGTGTGACTTTGGAGACAAGAATCTTCTCAATACTGTCAGACCCACATCTGAATATTCCATATCAACGTACTAGGGTAAGTCCACATGAGATTGCCTTACCATATCATATTCTTGTATCATGCAGACTAAACTTGTCAATGCTGGTTTGATATGAAAAATTAAGGAGATTTTCTATTTGCCAATACAACTACCACGATGGATGCAACTAGTGCTGGAAGGATAAGTCACTAGCATAGCTTAGTAAGAGAATTTCTCAAATTAGATGTCAGTTTTGTCCGTGCACAACAATTAGTCCAAGAATATGAACAAAAAAAGATCCTAATATTGAGTTTCCTTTACATTCCTAGGAGAAAGATTGCAGCTTAGAACATTCCCTCTCAGTAAATACAGACAATATAAATAAAAAAAATTAAAGTGAAGCAACTCAAGACCAATGACAATTTACCTCCACTTTTCTCTGGGTGAAATTGTACCGCATGCACATTTCCCTTCCCTACAGAGGCTATGAAATTGTCACCATAATTGCAGGTAGAGGAAACCCAATCCATGTTGTCATTTGACTACCCAACAAAACCATAAAAAAGAACAAGGAGAAAAGGAAATAAGTTAGACAATCTGACGCAACAAACCTTAAAAATTAGCAACATACACCATAAAAAAATCAGAAAATGAAGAGAAGCATACTGGTATGGCACGGTAGGAGTGAACAAAATAGACATGGTGATTTCCAACATCATCCAAAATTTCAGAGCCTTCTCTAACTTTCAAGGCGTTCCAGCCAATGTGAGGCACTCTCAAACCACTGGATGCATCAAAACGACCAACCACTCCAGGGATTATACCAAGACCACGGACTGTTGTAAAAGTAGCCATCATGAAGAAGGGTATTGACAAATTAAATTGTTGACGATGCCATAAAAATAATACGCAAGTTAGAAAAAGGAACTTTCATATCTATACTCAAATAAGCCAATTCATTTCTCTGAGACATTCGCCACAGCTGTTCAATTTTCATCCTCGCCATTTACCTCTGTTCCATGAACTATGAGCTGTTATGCTCTTTAGTATCACAGTTTGTGCAATACAACTCAAGAATGACACTGTATTCTAGTGTTTAGCCATGATGCTCTCAATCTTAAAGTCCAAAACGTTGCAATCAATGACGAGACTAAAATCCACTAAAATTTGTCCAAGAAAAATCCGTCTGAAACATAAGGGAACAGGAAGGAAGAGAGAAGAAATAACAAAAGTACGATCTTCTGACCTGGGCCATTCTCCTCACTTGACTCAAAGAGTAGTTGCAGTCCAAGACATATGCCTAGGAAGGGGCGATCTCCCATAATATAAGTACAGAGAGCTTCAGCCATCCTGGAATTGAAGTTCTCAAATGTTAAAAAGTTCTCTGGTCCTAACACCTGAGTTGCATGAATTTATGAAAACAAGCAAACCTTCAATAGTCATATTGCGTAGAATTTGAGAAGACTCTCGCACAACTCGCACAATAATCAAGACAGAGAACTCCAGACAGAATACACGAAATGGTCCACAGTTCAAGATAATCTTGCTAGCAGTCCTTTAACTTTGAAAGTTTACTATGTCTGTTGCATCATATAAAAGAAAAATTTTGCGAACCATTGTTTGTCAATCTTAACTATTAAACTCGTAGATAGCGGTAGCGGTTATGTTGCATTTTAATATTTATATGCTCTCACAAAGAACACAAGCTACCTGGACTAAACCTCCAAAATGCTAAAAAAGAATGGCGGTCCTTCGAATCTTCAATGGGTAACAATTAGGAGATAAGGTGAAAATAGGTGCATACCCTTTCTTATTTAACACTTCCATGGCGGAAGCAAATGCCCCGACGCCTGGGAAGATGAGGCGATTTGCACCCAAAATATCTTCAGGAGTTTGCACCTATACATGTACAAAGGATAAGAAAAGTTCTAGACCCAAAGAAAGTCTCAGAATATTGATTATATCAACACGAAAGCCAAAATTTAGCACTCGCCCGAACCTTAAACTAGCAGCAAAGCTAGAATCCTAACAATACAGCCCAACATTACACAGGAAAAAAAGTTGAAGAGAAGAAGAAAGGTTAAATCTTTAGACACCCATCATGATGGGTTTCACTTCTTGAAAAATTTGCAAGTTCCCAGTCTCCATCAAATGAAAAGACCCAAATAGAGAAGACAAGAAAGATTACATCTTTAATGTCGAAGCCGAGATGGCGAATAGCATTCCGGACGCTACGGACGTTGCCAGCACCATAATCAAGCAGAGTCACCACTGCAAACAACACCAACACAAGCATAAAACACTGAGAACCATAGAGTCACAGGGAGAGAGACAGACACAGACAGAGAGAGAGATGGTTGGTGCGCACCAGAATCTCCTCCCCGAGAGGCGGCGCGGACGGAGAAGGCTCTGGGTGACTTGAGCTTGAGGCGGGCCTTGTTCGAGCGGAAGTAAAGGAGAGATTGTGAAGTAGCAGACGAAGAAGATGGTGGTGAGAGCGATTTAGGTGTGAAAGCTGAGGGAAAGGGCGCCGCCTCCATTTTGCAGAAGAAGCTGTTTGTAGTGTCCCTCTCTCTCTCTCTCTCTCTCTCTCTCTGAGCTGCTTGGTTTTGATTTTGATACCAGCAGTAGTTAAGACTCGAAAGAGAAGAGCAGTAACGTTGGACTCTGCAAAATAGATTGGTCCGAAGGGCCACTGTACACTGTGCTCCTCGCGTGTCCCCATTAGACAAAAAAAAAAAAAAGGAAGTACGAAATTCATACTTGGAAAAGCTGCATTTTTCATCCTTTCACCTTGTGGGACGGAATTCACACTTTTTTTTTCATCCAAATTTGACATTGGGGGCTGGAGCCTCGCCAGTGGTTGGGTGAGGCATGAATCTGGCGAGGTCGGACCTTGCCCATGGAGGCGAGTCTCGACCCTTGCCAGCCCAGCACGAGGACACCCTCGCGGCCATTCGGCGAGGGCGAGCCTTGCCGACCTTGGTCTCTGGCCGATTGACGAGATCCGACAACCGACAAGAAAAAAAGGAAGGGAAGGAAAAAAATAAAAATTTCAGAAAAATATTAAAATATTATTAAAAGTTATCCGCGTCAACGTCTGCTGACGTCCCCATCAGCAATATCTGATCAAAATTAGCTGAAATGACTGAATTAACACCATATCAAAAGATTTAGGACTAAATTAACACAAATATAATGAATTTAGAACTTTTCTGACACTTTTCCTGGCAAAACTTTATTAGCAATGATGCTTACTTATGTTATTATTTCTTTCATTGTGACATTCGAACACTTACTCGATATTCTAGTATCTTGTGTCAATTTTCTTCTTGGTAACGATGGAAAAGAATCATAACGGGCAATTCATGTTCATGTATTATAATCGAATATTATAATCATGTGATCATATCAAGTCACGTAATTGAAGGGCACTATATTTATATGTGTTCCTGATCAATTCGTGTCACCTTCAAGATCGCAATACAATGTTGTATAAACATATTAAATTGTGCAAATTGCCAGCCCTAAAAAGAATTAAAAACGAAAAATTAGGCGTCATGTATCGACATCGTTCTCCCTTCTTTAACTGGATGAAGATTCAATAGGTGCTCCGATTAATAGCACTAGTTGAATCGTTCTCGGTCCCTTGCAAATGATTATTGCATTGTCAATCCCATTCCAACTCAACACCACCCAAAGAAGAAAGAAAAATTACAGGCGAAAATTATTCTCCATGTCTATTTTACCTTGGGTAACACTGCACTTTCAAGGAAAAAGAGTAGCAATATCAAACAGTTTTCCCATTAAGTAACAGGCCAAGTGAAATCCTCGAGATAGCATACCCACAATGTCAAATATGTACATCACTTATTTAGAACATCAGCTTAAAAGTACCCAGAAAGAAAACCAGATCCTCATGCAGCTTTGGCAAATCCAACTCTCAGCTTGCCATAGTCAAAGACGGTATGATACTGACCCATGAAAATGTCGCCCAGTATCCTGCATCAAATGCAATTAGCTGGTGAGGAAAAACTCTATCAAAAACGTAGGTGGGATTTGCCCGGTCCATTGTAATCCTGAAGTTTCATGATTATTTAAGAACAAAAGTATCATGGAAGCTATTAGTTGGAAACCACACACACCAGAGAGGCCCTCTAGGAGGAGGGACATCCAAAGCCGTAAATCCGCTTATGCATTGAGCCGAGTCTCCATCTCCTACCTTCAAAACGTACTGATGGCCCAAAAGCAGAAGTTAGATACATGAATGACAGAGTAAAAGGAGAGAGGAGCATGTGAGAGAAAACAATTTTGTGTTCCCTGCTGAGCAAAAGCTCTACTCGACCAAGGCGAGATAAAATGAGCATGACCCGAGGAAGCTACTAAAGGTGCAGGGAGGAAAACAATTACATACTTCAAGGCTGTTACTGCATTTTCTATTAGCAAACAGTTATCTTTATGCAATGCTTCCGCTTTTCCCATGGTCTCTAACACTCCAATTGTTCAATAGATAGACAATCATACACTTGACAACCTAATATCTAAGTGCAATCGTCTGGAAAGCTCCCTCCTCACTTCCACTTAGGTATCTCAATCATGATTGTGCATCTTCCATTTGATATATCGACTGTGTTGTGTTTTTCAGAAAACCATACATCAAATGAGCCCTATATCAAGTCCATATACCAGCTCCTGCCTGGTTTTGCCAGGAAAGCATTCCCAAGGGAATGTGCCAAGTATAAAGTAACACCCACCACTATTTAGCATCTACCTGAAATTTGCCATCGCATTAAGTTTCTATAAGTGGGGGATTCACCTGCCCACAGCTATTCGGAAAAGGAACTAGAGAGTAGAGATAATGAAATGAATGATGGTCCATGGTCCCTAATTATACAATCAAAGAGAAAATTGAAGAGAACCATCTACGCAAACATAACATAAAAACCACGAAATACATAGGGTTGGTGACAGAAAGACCAAGAACAATCAACAGATTGCACCATACCTGCTCAGGGGAGAGATCAAATACCCTTCCTCCAATTGTAAATGAGACATTGGGCATGGATGACAAGCCACCACAGTCAACAGCAGATTCGCCCATTGGGCTAGGCAATCGACTGCAAAGCTGCACAAATAAATGCAGGAATAAATGAAAAGAAGAGATAAGATCACAGATGGAAAATGGAAAATTAAGTCATATCACCTCATTCACATAGCTGAGTATTCGATCCTGCGTCTCATTCTGCCGAATTTGGTTCTGCATCCACACAACAGTCATCTCACATGTAGAGCACATCGCATCAGTCAGACGACCAGAGACTTTCTTATTTTTTCCCTCCACAACACTCTCAATGCCCATGCTGAAATTTTCCACAGTAACGAAACGATAAACAAGCAATAAAAATCAGAACAAACGTACTGGAAGGAATTAGCACAGAAGATTGTGAGTTAAAACAAAACAAAACAAAACAGGTGTCCAAACTAACCTAACCCCTCGAGTACCATCAAACGTACATAATCCAATCTCTGAGCATATTTTATGTGGCTCTTCCTGCCACATTATGAAGCTATGTGTCAGAAGTTCAACAGGAGGATCCAGAATCATATAAACAATTTCTAGACATCATTCAAAGGACTGGCATAGAAACTTTGCAAGAACCTTTGCTAAAAGCATCTGAATAATGGTCTCCCCATACTGTGCAACTACAGCCTTGCATTCTTCACTCACAACACCAGCAGCTCCAATAGCGTGGTTGACTTCAGTGATGATAGTCTACTCGTAAAAGCATTTGAACAACGGATTGAAAGCAAGAAAATTCACAAACTAGGTTAGAAGACATATCCTTGAGTTGCGGAAGTACAAATTTCCAGCAACCGAATTCAATGAACAGATCACCATAGAAGTTGGCCAAAGACAGAGAAGACACACTACCAAAAAGGAACTGAACCACATGTAACTACCTCTGCCCTCTACGTTGTCTAGTAGTCAATTCAAAGAAGCACTAATGCTGTTGGCAAGGGGAGGGGTCAGATGAAAATTTGCGTAAAAAATGCCTCCCCTCCTCTCCCTTCACATAAATTTTAATTCTTTTACCATTTTCAACCGAACTTTTATTCCCCCTTTTCCCTCTTTCCTAAACATAGCATAAAGGATACTAAAGACAGAAAAAGAGGAAAGGACTATTAGGTTTCATCTCCATGCGAGTGGTAAGCAACTTAGGTAAATTATCTATAAATAAAAGGTAATCAACGGACACCAGACACACAACAAGCATAAAACCTCATACACACCGTTGGACCGGCCAACAGAGAGGTCCCTGAATCTGCAATTGCTGAACAGCCACCGGCACAAAATCCTGAAAATTCACGTCAGAAAGTACATAAAGTAATTTCATAAGAAGTTATTCATTCAAGAAAAATGCTCAGAATGCAGTAGTAATGTTATGCTCACCAGTTGTTTTACCATCAATCAGAACATCACCCATATCAAACTGCCAGTGTGAACAAACAGTAAGACAATCTTAGAAATAAAAGAAAGATATGTCTCATGCTAGTAGTGCCAGTAATTAGAGCAATGCTCCTGCATACTGACCTGCCAATACCCTTTTCGGGTCACAGGAACATATGTGTGGTCCCCTTCAAAGTGATTGGGATCCACCCCACCAAACACAATTTCACCTCCATCTTCCTCCTCAGCATTACGATTAAACCAAAATGAGAAAACTGGGTCTTTAACAAGCCCTTGATCGACCATGTTATACCTAGAACAGAAAGTACAAGGTTCAGCATTCTTCTGCCAGTGAAGTTTACAACACGTTTCAACAATGAATATCTAGAGATATGCATTTAGCCATGACGCACCAAACAGGCACTGCGTTCCCCACCGAGATTTCTTGGAACCCAAGACCAAGGATGCCATCAAACTTGGCTACCATGAAAGTGAGGCCGGGTTCCTTGGTTGCCTCGATAAAATCCTAGACAAGAGTAGACCAACTAATTTGAACAAATCCAGCAACTATGAGGGAGCCACCATGAATTAAATTGAAGAACAGAGGCATGAGATACCTGATCCTCCACTATAAGATCACCAACTTTGACATGATCTTGACTAAAGAACCCAGAAATTGATCCAGTGCCATAATGTATATCAGCTGATTTCCCTGCATGATGAACAAGAGCGAAGGAATAATTTGAAAATGCTGCTTCAAGGATTTCTTTGCATCAGCAGATCCACACCATATAAGTAACATGAGGAATCAAGAATTTATATGCATCAGCAGCTCAACACCATAATTTATAACATGAGGAATCACGTAAAACTAAATGCACAACAATGCAGATATTGATCATTTTCCGGTCATCCAATACTCAAATACACAAGGTCAACTCTTTGGCCAGGATCTGACCAAAAAAAAATAAAACTCTTTGGCCAGGCTGGAAAAGGAGTAATGGGAGAATGTCACCCAAACAACACATGATGATACAAGTCATTTTGATCAAGGAGCTGTCAACAGTATCCGGCTCATCCACTGAAGTGGGTGCACTGCTCTTTGAGCAAATATACCATTTATGCAGAGAAGATTGCCCAAGATCGCGCTTGAAACTTTGTTCGAAATGCATGCACCATAAATAGACAAAAATGTCTGACATCTGAAGATTACCTAAGATCGTCCTTTCTGAAACTCTAAAACATCTGAATTACAATAGAGAGAAAAGTGGGAAGTTAATAAGAGGCAGAACAAACCATTCTTCTTGTAAGTACTTGAGCTGCTCGACTTGTATCGTGGATGCATATAGCAAGCAATCTGCACCAAGTTACCAATGGTAATTAAGATAATCTATAAAGTTGATTGGCCTGGAGTGATGAAATGGAACTCGAAAAGCAAAACTCACAGAGAAATGACACTTTGAAGAGGGCACCCACAAATTTGAACTGCCTGTGTCGAAAATCACAGTGAAGTTCTGTGGGGGAGTACCTACACCGATCTCACCAAAATATTGAGCATCCATGTAATTTTTTAGTGCTACAACATCAGAATCCCCCGAGTCTCTGAGGTTCCCATTGAGATGATGCTTCCCAGCAGAAGGCCTCATTAATAGCTCCCCTTCATTAACATCAAGCCTAGCAGCAATCCGGCTGTTCTTATCAAATCTCCTCCTTTTGAGTCCAATGCGAAGCAACCCATCACCAGATGCAGAAAGCACCACAGGGAACAAGAGGAAGCAACCCAAAAAAGTCGCCGTGACTGGATTTAGTTTAGTTCCCATATCTCAAACACTGCAAGAGGGAAAAAAAAAAGGAGCTTTCAGTTAGACCAAACATATATAAACTCCCCCCCCAGAATCGCAACGTAATAATCGAGATCGAGGTCGAGGTCCGGGTCGAACAAGATGAAACATCGGATAACACGACCGCCCTCATCACGAAACATTCACAACAACCAATGACTAGCTTTGTCCTCGCTGAAAAAACACCGTCATCATCGAAATTGAGCTAGCAAGCAATTTCTTAAAAGCCAAGACTCCAAGAGCCCATGATCGTTCGCACTTCGCAGCAACAGTAGTAGCAACAGACAGACTTATACGATCAACAAGACGCACGAGTTTTCACGCCAACATCGTCCATACCCCGCGGCAGTTACGACGACGGGAGATTCTCGCCTCCAAAAGAAACTCAACGCGAAAACAAAAATTTCGACAACCCAGTTAAGAGTTCCGGGATCGCAACGTCGGCACAGAAATCAGGAGCCGACCCTCGATCAACAACAACCTGAAGACTAGAAATTCCAAACAGCAAGCCGCATTGCGGCAACGATAATGCGTAATTCGCAACGCCCCGTCACCAGTCACCGGTCAGCAACAGGCGAAAGCAAGAACCGAAAACAGGGCACAACGCTAGCTCTAGGGGAAGATCAGCCAATGCACAGAATCGAAATCGGCAGCGATCGGTGCTAAGAATTCGAACGCATTTTGCTTACAGTTCGAGGGCGGAGAGGATTGGTGAGTCGAATCGAGCAGCTGCGACTTTCGCACCAAAACTACTCTCGTGCAGTTCGCGTTTTTCAAGGAAGGAGGAGCAGCGTCCTCGGTATGCCGGGAACTACGGAGGATCGGGACCGTCCACGTGTCAGTGAGGCGCCCGTTGGATTTGCCACGAAGGCGTGAAATGGGGACACGACACGCTATTTTTTTTTTTTTCGAACTGTTGATTATTATTTTTTGACCAAAAACAAAAAACTACTATTATTATTCCTTTTGGTTTTTCTTATCCGCGAAGGAAAGATTTTAGAGTTTTTGTTTGTTGCCTTTGGCTCTTGGAAAGATCGCCCTTTTGGTGCTTTCGGCTTTTCCCGATATTGGAACCGTTCGATCGACGAGATGTCGTCGCAAAGTCCACCCCATCTACATCATCAAATCATAAGCATGCATATTCAATCCAATTTGAATTATCGTTTCGATGAATCCCATAAATCCTGCTAAATCTTACCATTCAAATTCTGTTCAGGCGTATATTAAGTTGAATAGACGAAATTTATCAAATGATAAGATTGTTGCACTATAATATCGTTCGTAAATCCGCGATCAGCTTGTACATTGGGCATTTTGCTATATGTGAAAAGATTTTCTAGAGTTTGGTGAGCTTATGGACTGGTAATATCTAGATAGATAGTTGCTATGGTCGTCCCTCTTTAATCTCTTACTCATAAAAAAAAGAATGTTGTATCGATCTTACGATTTTCGACCAATCAAACTGTCAAATGATATAAGCAACTTATACCGAAAAAGTCGGCCTCGACATGCCGAGAGGCGGACCGGTATTTGGTTGAGCTTGGTGGATCAGTTAATTCGTTAATTACTTGCCTCTACACACTTATGGGATGCCCTTCGTAAAACAGGGCACTAACGCACTCCTTAAATTAAATCGGTTTGCATTTTCTACTTTCATATCGCTTCCCTTATCCCCTCCCCTCTCTTGTTCGAAAAAGAAAATGTTAAGATAAGAGAATTGCGGGAATTGCATATTCAATTCAAAGATAAAATATAATCCAATGAAAAAAATTCAAATTCACAGACTATAAAAAATTCAAATTCGAATATATATATTCTGATATAGATCGATCTAATATAGATAGAGTAGTAGTAATTAAACCTGGATCATTAGATTGGAAGAGTAGCAGTTATAGTTGACTTTAATTCATCATTTAACGTCTCTAATCCAAAACAAAACAAGAAATTTTGGTTTCATTCGGCACCTTTATAGAAGATGGATAAATTCCTAGACACGGTTATATCTAAGATATTAACTGAACGAAACAAAAAAATTTGATCCATAACATCTACGTCTGTGTTGTGTAGTTCCAAAAACCTTATTTTGATTTATTGTGTCTCTTTCTGGTGGGCTAATTCCCAAAAAAAAAAAGCACAAATTTTACCTTTAGTGACAATTTTTGGCTTGAACTTTTTTTTTATCTCAATAAAAAACACCAACTTTGACTCGAGTCTCAAATCTGGCCCCCTTGATATGAAATTTTCAAATTATTCGGGCTAGATTTGGGATTTAAGTGAAAGTTTATGATTTTTTACTAGACAAAAAAAGTTTGGGCCAGAATTATCACTCTAGGTAAAGTTTGTGCTTTTTTTAAAAAATTTTATTAGGCCTTTTTTTGGTACAAAAGATGTCGAGATATATTTAGAGTGAGGTTTACATTTTTTTTTCACTTATACCTTAAAATTTTAGAGTTTAATATTTCACTTTTGTTTATAACACCTCAAATGATTTAGACATATATATTGATATCTGAAGTTACATAAAGTTTCTTATTTGCATAATAATTTCGTTCAATTTAGAATGCGAAAGTCCAAAAACAAATTGGGCCTCACAACAACAAATGCATCGCTTCCTTAAAAATATTTATTAAGTAGTAGGACTTCTTCTCGAACAATAGATTAATCCTATTGCTTTTCTCGAAACGACAAACTCTTATTAGATAATTGATTATACTTATTTACATGGTCACTAAGAATTTGTCAGACCATTTAGATAGATCACCTTGATTATACTTCATTATACTTTTTACCTCCCTTCAAAATTTGAAAAAAAAAAGAAAAAAAGATTTAAGTTTTAAGAAATTGTAAAAATATTATATACGATTATACATGTCAATATACGTCTATAAAGTATTATAGATATGCATTCACTTAGTAGCTTAGCTCCAATGATCCTAGGAGACATGACCACTGTCTGTTTGCAGCGAATAATACATGAGTAATTTTATTCTTTTGGCTTAGGCCCATTTTTACACCCCCAGAAATATTTTCAATATTTCACGTAAATAAAAAATCAAGTTGTGAGAGCCTTATGATTTTACAAAATCCTAATTTTTATACCCTTTGAGAAATAGTACCCCTTATCCCGTTCCTTTTATCGTTAGCCTGAATCAGCAGCAAGAACTTTGAAAAATAAGAAAATTTTTAGAGTTCCTCCAAATTTGAGTAAAAGGCAAACATGAAAGTTGCACGAGATAAATTGTTTATCCTTGCACAAGAACAAAAACAAGAGATAACCAAACGGGGCTTTTCCCACAAAATTATTCCTCATATATCATGTGTTCTCATTGATGCAACTTCTTGTAACGGCATCGTCACTAGCACTGCCATGGTTCGGATGAACGCCGCCAACAACCGAGGCAATAGCCGCCACGAGAGCCGCCGTGAAGTTCGGGTCTGCTGTGATGGCGGCCGTTGCGGTGTCGGCCGTGTTGGCCATATAGGCTGGCGCTTGCTTCATCTGATTGCTCACCACCTGAAGAAGCTCGGATTGGTTCAAGGCGTGACCTAGCTGGCTTTGCATGGCAGAACCCAAGAACAACGGCCTTCGCAGCTGCATGGGGTCGCTGATAGTATCATTAGTGGGAGTGGTGTGTGTGAGGTCCAATGTGACAGTAGGAAACGGTGCAGTCGCAGAGAGCGTTGCCAGACTTGGCAGTGAACCAGGAAACGACGCGTTTCCAGCGACGTAATGTGAGCTGGCAATCAATCCATCCGAACTCGTCATCGAACCAGAGAGAATCATCGATGCAGCCGATGAAGTGGTTGATGCCATGGCCATTGCAGCTTGAGGAAGCGGGTGGTTGTGTTGTCCTTCGTATGTTGTTACCAGGATTGCTTTGTCTTCTGCACATCTTTGTACCTGCCAATTTTCACATTATTATCGTCAGTAGAGCATTGTCAAATAAACCCATTTGCAGGAGCTAGATTTGTATTAGATCTCGTAGGGTGATCTCGGCTTAGGTTTCGGATCAACACTGTGAATATAATTAGCTACTTTTATATATTACAACTAAAGATACAAGGAAGTTTTCTCTGCATTCTTATGCCAAACAAAGCGGGAGGCTCTAGCAATAAGTGAAAGAACCTGACGACACAGCAATGTTAGATATATAGACTGGTTCTGCAATATTGAAATGATAGCCCCAAATATAAGAAAAAGTGCAGAAACATATGGAGTTCATGCCTTTTTCTATGAGATCCAATGTAAGTCGTACTTGTGAGAGTTGTTTGAATAAAGAGTTGGTCAGACCATTAGAGAATTTCATCAATCAAATCTCTTGTAAAGCCTGTGCTATGCTCCAGCCTCGTCAAATAAAATCTATCTCTTGTAAGGCCTGTGCTATGCTCCAGCCTCGTCAAATAAAATCTAGCCTAAACACGGGCAAGATACACTAAATCCTCACAAAATGTGCGCATAAGCACAACCTAACGCAGTTTAGGAAGCATATATGTCATCTGCACATTCCTTGTGGATTTCCATTCAAGACTTATGAATATGTGAAAGCTAGATTATAACATTATATTGTAGTAATTACTTTGGACATTGGACAGCATGAATTCAAGAACACACTACCTGTTTGCGAACCGGACAGCCGACCGCCATAGAACAGCGATAATAAGCTCGAGGGCATGGGTTTCCTTTCGCCATCTTTTGCCCATATTTCCTCCACTGACAACCGTCTGCAATCTGGGTAGATAAACACATATTTTAAGACATTGACCATAATCATTAGCTTCACAAGAACTCGAAACCCTAATGAGAGAGTGTGGCTACTGTCTGAAAGCAAAGCAGCAAAAACCTTCTACATAGATGATGAGTCAAACAGCACGTAGTATGGACAGATCTTCATTGTGATCAGCCTTTCTCCTGGACTTTTCCGAAAGGCATGGGTTCGTTTTTGTTCAAAATCTTGATGCGCAAGATTGCTACTTTTCTCTTGACTTTGCTACGAAAACCCTCCGACAAAAGGAAAAGAACATCGTGTGCTTTGTCCAATCGAGTGTTGCTGAGGAAACTGGAAAAGTTGTGCAGACACGGCCGGTTAAAGTTTCTACTTTATATGCATTGCACTGATCACGAATTGCATCCTTCGGTTGTTGGCCTGGCTGTTTTCATGCGCTTCTTTATATGGTTTTCTAAAGTCATTTCACACTGTTCGAGTACTCTCTGGATTGTGCTCTCAAGTTGCAATTTCCGGGAGATTTACAATGCGCATTATATTTCAAATTTATGCATAAAACATGAGAAGATGAATATGCATCTAATACCTACAATGACCTTGTATGACATTGCATATATTACTGAGTTTGTAGAAAGCAAGACATTGATTTCATGATCGCTTCTAGGGAAAGCAAACTTATTGCGTAGTTCCAATTGAACATGTTTGCCCATCATATCCCAATTCACGAGAAACTTACGTAGTCTATGTATATTATTCTAACAAACTTTGCATATGGTAGACGATTGACAAAAATGTAATATTTTGATGACAAATGCATTTACTCACCATGGATGCCTCCGAGCGAGCTCGAACCGACACCCGGGCTTTCTTAATCATGGCCATTGTTTCGGCCGCTTGATCAGTGTTGGAACTAAGTTTCTGCACTTTAGTTGGAGACCATGGAGCATCATCCCTCCTCCGTCGATGATCAATAGATTCGCTTTTGTTAGGATTAGGAAATGGCATGACTTCGCTCGTAGAGCTTTCCCTTGGCGTCTTGAAGTACTCCATCGACTCCACTATATTGTTTTGAGGTGAGCTCAAGCCATCCCGTGGTTTATCTTCTGACACTGATTGTGAATTCTCATCTTTTCCAGTGGATTTCTCGCAATCCTCTAGCGTTTTACCAATCACCTTAACATATGTAGATATTCTCATGTAAGATAATTAAGACACAACTTTCCTGAAAAGAAAATTGTCATAGCTATAAGGGTCTATACACGTATATGCTTATGTAGTATGTATAATATGCAGTATAGTACGATAGTTGGGTTGATTAATTTATTTCATTTCAATTTCACCAATCTCATTCCATGGAATATAGATCATATTGGTCAAACAAATCAATGTCATCAATTTCTCAACTTTTCAACTAACAATAATATGTGAAAAATAATAACAGATTAACTTAATTACCTTTTCAAAATCTGTGGTCTTGGCTTGAGGACTCGCCCGATGCCTTTGCATTAATGAAAGGAGATGGACTTGTAAGGCGTCGCAATTACTGTTGACCTGATAAATCATGCTCTTCAGGCGTTGATTTTCCACGTTCATCCTGTCTAATTCAGCTTTCAAGACTGCCAACTGGAAAAAGAAAAAAACAAAAGAAAAAATCTTTATGTTCACAAATGATCAAAGTAAGATATATAGGAATATGAATTGGACCTAATAATCAGACGAGGCCTAAAGGTCAATCAATTAATCAAGACACGCATACCTCAGTTGAGTTCATGCACCTGTGTTCCTTGCCCGGTGCTTCTTCTTCATCAACGAGTGATTTATCGCTACCGATATTCTCCGTGAGAAGATTCAATCCCGTCTACATGTTCGTATAAATAAATCGAGATATAAGATTATTAGGTTTCTATATAAGATTTAAACTAACAGTAAAGTTAATTTTTAACGTGATATCACCGCAATCTGTGCCGGGGAAAGCTTCTTAACAGTTTCAAAAGCAAAAGTTTTCAATTGGTGCAAATAGTGAGTACATATCAACTTCAAGCGTGTGAATAAAAAGTATAAAGAAACTCAAGCATATAAGAATAGCTTTGAGTACTTGCAAACTTACGTCGAGTTTCATCTCCTGATCCTCCTCTAGACTATCCTCCACGTTCTCGCTCTTGACTGCGGAGCTCGCTTCTTCTCTCGAGCTTTTGTCAATGGCGAAGAAGTTCAGCTCGTTAACCACCCTATCTTTGTGTCCTGCGGCCGATACCGATGCCGCCGCCACAGAGACGGCGCCGTGCTGGCTCCGGTCCATCTCGGCTTCCATCATTTCATGCTTCCATACGGTCGACCTCAGGATCAATGGCTCTCTGACAGATCGATTGTCACTGCAATTGAATTTGGTAGCAAGAAGGTCAACATTGATGAAGTGGGTGTTTGCACTTTTGTCCATGAACTGAGATAATGGGAGAGAGAGAGAGAGAGAGAGAGAGAGAGAGAGAGAGAGAGAGAGAGAGAGAGAGAGAGAGAGAGAGAGAGAGAGTTGGTTGGTGTGGGGAAGAAGAAGAAAGTCTTCCTAAGGATGCAATGGACTCGGCATTTAAAAAGGGTTTGGACTAAGACCGAGTGTGAAAACAAAGCTTATATTCCTAGCATGAAGAAATCGGAGCGAATGAGGTAAGATGGTGCGTCAATTAGACACGTGGCACCCATACTGAGAGAGAATATATATATTTTATATTTTTCCTCCTCTTTAGCTTCTGTAGTCCGTTAACATTTCTTGTAGATCTATACCACATCATTATTATTTCCAGATTAGTGTGAAAAAGACTGGGAAATTTCTCTGCCAAGCGAATGAACAGATGGATCTGTTTCTTCTGTAATCCATTTAACCTGTGAATTCTAGGTTTAAAATCTTGGCTGCATGAGCTAACCATGAATTACCTGCGCCATGTAAGTGCAAGCAAATCCTAGAAACGTATGCAGCCGCTAAAGAGCAAGTTGTCAAACCTGATTTTGCCTAACTTAGTCGGCTGTTTTTCTTTAATTTTGTGGAGCTGTAAGTGCTGTAAATCATGAATACAAAGCGTTCACATTCCATTTTAACAATTATTTCGTCTTTCTATCTTAAATTATTGGATCTATACAGGGAAAGAGAGAGGAAATGGGAGGAAATTTGTTCAAGCATGAGATTAGCTCTTGATAATAGTAGTTTAATTAGAGAAGCTGTACAAGAAGACACGTAGGTGTGGAAACTAAACTAGGTGTTTATCTGTACTCAAGCGATATAGGGACCTTGCACCTGGGTTTTGTAGTAAACAATGATGGAAAACGATTGAAAGAGAGAGCTTGACTAAAGTGACAAATACGCCAATTTGCGCTATCTCTCCTTTTTTGGTAATTAGATACATGGAAAAAAACACAAAACAAAACGCATTGATGCAACAAGAACGACAGATAACACAGATAAATAAATTTGCAACACGCGCGAAGGCGCAATACACTTACATGCACGATTTAGGGAAAATTCTATTACTATATATACTGTGTTTGACCATTCGAAAAGAACAAAACCCTAGGTACCATGAAAAAAGAAACCGAAATTAACTTAGTACGAGTAAAGAAGTTCGGAAAAATAAGCAAGGGCTAAAATCACATAGAAAGTACACCTAAAATTAGAAAAGTGGTCCAAATCCCATGATAAGATGGATTTTGAGGCTTGAAAAGACGGGAAAACGGATCTTTCGTTTGAATGTAGCATAGTGCACGAAACGGGCTTTCTAATTGATACTACGAATCTTGAAAATATGACAAAAGTTATGGTTTATTTATCGAACGTCGTGCGATTTCATGGTCCGGGCCCACCTATTTATCTTCTACCTATCTGAATGTTCCCGAATGTCATCAGCAGCCGTGTTTATGTCATATATCCATGTACAAGCCGAGATACAAATAACACTACACCCAAATCATTACGTCCAATCACATATCTATCTTTACTCGGTTTTTAATGGAGAGATAAGAAAGGGGAAAATTACCCAATAGGTCCTACAACAATTATACAGATGCCAACTTAGTTTTAAATTTATCTTTATTCAAAATTTCAATATAATCCTTTCGATTAATTTTTTTATCGGAAAATCACTAATATGATAGCCAGTTATTTTCGGTTGTCCTATATAACACACTGTCACATCAGCAATTTTCAACTAAAATTAGTTGGAATGATTATATCGGAATTTTGCCCAAAGGTTTTTGATTGAATTTGGATAATTGAAAAGTTTATGATTGAATTGGCATCCGTATAACACATTTAGGTCCGATTGGACAATTTCTCCGATAAGAAACCACCTCGAAAACTCTAAACGCCAATATTGTTTCCCCTTTTGATTTTTGATTTCTCCAATTTTCATTTAATATGTTATTGCCTACCAAAGAGAATTGCCCACTTGGCCCCTTAAGAAATGCCCCAACCAAGTTCTCCTCTAGTCTTCCTTTACCTCATCATTTGTCAAAAGGAAAAACTTTAACTTTGTAACCGAATTAGAGACTACTGTTGACTACAGTCTAGTACGTTCCCATTAGTACTAGATCTACAGACAAAGGAGTCATGATCCGGAAGTGTTCCTTTTCTATGACAAAGATGTGTCCGTGTTTCCACTAGCTTGCACCTTTTTTTGGGTTAGTTTGATTTTAGGTTATATAAAGACAAAGGGGCATGTTTTCTTCTGCTTAGACTCATATCAATGTCCGCATTGATGTGATTATGTATGGTATATCTAGTTTGCTCAAATGGAATTAAATCCTCTTACGTTCATAACCTAAAAGGTGCACTAGTGCATATGCAACAAGGTAGCCGTGTCGGCAAGATGTTCCGCACTTTTGCGAGGATCATTGCTTTGTGCATCGCAAAACTTCAAGAATTAGAGATGATAATGAATCTATGCTACCTTATAAAGTCATGTCTTCGACGATGTCGCATCGACCCCTGAAAGGTCTAAAATATTATTTGCCTCTCTATTGCTCACTTAATATCATTGGGGACTAAAATGGTGAGTTATATTGCTCAAGGTGGCTCCTTTCAATAACATAATTGGCCATTTTTTTGCTTACGTAGCACATGCAAGGATTCTACGGATTAATTTTAATGGGGAAAATTATGTAAAAAATCCTAAACTTATTGTAATTGTGTCCTAAACCTTTTATATTTGTGCCAATTCAGTCAATCGGGCTATTTTTTGATTGGCTAGCGTTGATGTCGACGCTAACCGTCCTACGTGGCGCAACTAGTAACATAGATAATTTTTAATAATATTTTAATATTTTTTTCGAATTTTCTATTTGTTTTTCTTTTACTTTTTTTTTCTTTTCTTTCTCTTTCTTTTTTTTTTTTTCTTACTTCCTTTGGTCGGCGAGGGTGAGGCTTGACCTCATCGTCGCTAGGCGATTTTGAGCTCACCTAGCCATGGTGAGGTTGAGCCTTGTCCAACCACTGGCAAGGCCAACCTCGCCTAGCGATGGCGAGGTCGCGCCTCACCCTTCTGTCTAGCCTTTGCAATTATCACTGCAGAGTAGCTCATGCGGTTGAGCGACAAAGAGAGCGGCAACAACAACAGCCATGGGAGTAACAGATCAAGCTGGCCCTCATTGCCCCTCGCCTCTGGCCGGTCGCCGAGGTTTGGTGACCAACTAGAGGAAGAAGAAAAAAAAAGAAAAAAAAAATTCAAAATTTTTTAAATATTATTTAAAAATTGTCAACATCAGTGCCGGCCGGTCAAAAATGACCAAATAGACTGAATTTGCATAAATGCAAAATGTTAGGTCACAGTTGGCAAAAAAAAAAAGGGTTTAAAACTGAATTGGCATAACTGTAATAAGTTTAAGACTTTTTGGGTAATTTCCCAATTTTTAATGACTAATTTATGCTAACTTAATCTTGTTCAATTGAGCTTCTTAATAGAGAGGAAATGTTATCGAATTAATGTTTCCCTCTAATTATATCAAGATATGAAGGATATCACTATCAGTAGTCATTTCTCTATATCGATATCGGATGATTTACATAGGCATGCAATGTGGAATTTTAGGTTAATGGGACGGTCGGGACCAAGATTTGACTAGTTCTCTCGTGTTTTCTTCTTGCCTTTCCTCCTCCTTTTCTTGAATAACTCATTCTAACTTACATATCGACTTGGAAAGTAACTGTACAAACTTTTTTCCACGCCCATCATAATTATCATTTGTCAAACATCACGGAAAAAACCACAGATTTCTCTGGACTTGGAGGGAGGAGGCGCTGTCATTAATTATCATGTTGTCGATGGAACTGTGTACACACTCATACGAGCATCAAGAGATCAAATCAAAGCAATCCGAAGAACTATACCTTGGATTCTAACCTCAGTTTGAAGAATCTTAATCAAGGCTAGTTTTTGGAAATCATGATCCCTTATCGATACGAAAATAAACAGTTTAATATACGTGACAAAATTTCTTGTTGAACAGTAGTAAAAGAAGATGTCTCTTTTCTCGTATTTTATTGAAACGATACTTATTTTCACAAGAAAAGGGGAAACTTTACGTAAGTTGTTTTATCCATCCTTGATTTGCCCTCATCTCGAGAGTGGATAAGACCGCTCTTGCAAGTTCTCTTTTATACCGATAGTGCATGTTATAATTACTCTTACTTTCGTTGTTTCGTCGTTCCGGTCTTTGTTTGGGAATACTGAGTAAGCTGTGAATGAACCCTCAAACAAAATGGCTAGCTACTCCTGATCCGCACGTACTTTTCTTTGCCATAAGATAAGAGTCTTGGGGTTATTAAATGCATGTGGGTTTAGATGTAAGTCAAACAATGAAGAGATTACCAGAGTCTTGATTTGTACTGTAGCAAATGGAGTGAGAGGGTCTGGTCCTTGGAGTCTATCTGTGGCCGCGATTATTTACCACTGACTTTGAATGTAAGAAGGGGTTTCTGGTCAAGCCACGTACATCCAGAACACATGCAGGTCTTGTTACGTCACGGACACAGGGTGGATGTTCGAATTTGACCGGCCCTCCGCGATACGGTCAATACGCAAGGTTGGAATAATTAAGCTGGAACTCAATGATAAAGTTGCAAACAGAAAGAAACAAGGTGCCCATCACCGCGTGAGATTGACTGTGGAAATGTCTCTGATCTGTACAAACAGGTTGGAGACCGAAACTGGAGGAGGATTTGGGACTGACTGTGGCATTCTGTGTTTTTTTAGGGTTTTAATGTAAGAATAACTATGACCCATATGATATTATTAATTGGTTGCAACTTACATGAAGATAGAATGTTTAATACCACGAAAAATTCCAAACCGGTACACCTGTGATAATTTTATTCCGAACTAATTTTTCGACCACCAAAAACCCAAAACTGGTACACCTGTGATAAATTTATCCGAACTATTTTTTTTACCACAAAAAATCTCACACTGGTACACTTGTGACAATTTTACTCCGAACTAATTTTTTGACCACCAAAAACTTCAAAATGGTACACCTGTGATAATTTTATCTCAAACTAATTTTTTGAACACCAAAAACCCTAAACTGGTACATTTGTGAAAAATTTACCCTCCATTAGTATCTGTTAAATTGGATTAATATCACGAAAAACCACAAATTAGTAAACTTGTCTGTTAAAATCCCCAACTGGTACACCCGTCAACCATCACGTGTCATCAAACTTAGCAATTTGACAGTAAAATTTAAAGAAAACTAATAGAGAGTAAATTTATCACGGGTGTACCAGTTTGGGGTTTTTAGTGGTCAAAAAATTAGTTCGGAGTAAAATTGTCATAGGTGTACAAGTTTGGGGTTTTTTATGGTCAAAAAATTAGTTCGGTGTAAAATTATCACAAGCGTACCAATTTGGGATTTTTTATGGTCAAAAAATTAGTTCGAGGTAAAATTGTCACATGTGTACCAGTTTGGGGTTTTTATGGTCAAAAAAATAGTTCGGGGTAAAATTATCATATGTGCACCAGTTTGGGGTTTTTCGTAGTATTAACCCAAGATAGAATATGAAAAGTTGCAACTTTTATGAAAATAGAAGTTGCACTTATTGGTAGCTTATATAAAAAGTCCGTGTTAGGAGTACACAGTAGAAACTCAATATCTTCACGAGAGATCGCTAAGAGGGGGCTAAAGTCCGAGTATATTCACATATCCAATTGGATCCACATTCACTCAAATCTTAAGCCAATGAGTTATGAGCTAACAAGAATCACACCTATTCTCCGATGTAAGATTTTTCTAACATAACTCACTCGTGCATCCTAATAGTCGGGTTATCTCTCCATCCATCTCCATCCATAGACAACGAAAGTTGTATTCTATCATCCATAGGATAAAACACGTTAAAGAAATCGGATTTATTTGTTTCTCCTATTTCCGCAATAATTTTTTTCAAAGTTATTGTTATGGATAATGATTTGTGTCTTCGTCCTTCTAGTCGTAAATAAATCATAAAGATTTAAGATTTTATCATATTGAACTTCCACGTAAAGGATTACGTTATCGCTAACATTTAGCTAGGGTTTTAGTTAGGGTTTAGCTGGACAAATCTTTGCGTAAAGTCATCGATTAGTGTAGAAACCTAAAGCTACGAACGTTTCAAGCGCGTACACAGTCAAAGACCCTCTAATGAAATCTGTTGATAATTACTAAATTTGAACCTATGTACTCTTAATTTTTTCGACGTTGAACGAGTCGTCCCCACTGTTGCGTCGATAAATTGGGATGGTATCCGCCGATAGTGATTTTCTCGACATATATTGGTAATTAAACTGGGTGCTGGAAATGTTTATTATTGAGTCAATAGCTTTAACTTGTAAGCAAATCAATTAATAATTTAGGGACCACGAACATAGCTTCGGTACCAAACACTTACATTAAAGAATTCCTCATCTTGGAGAAATTCCAAAAATGCAAGCATTTTCCTTTTGTCCTGATTTAAAGTAATCATTACGTAAGAAAATATGTATAGTGTTGTGCATGACATATATACATGCAGGAGAAATTATCCAAAAAGTCATAAACCTATTGTACAGCGGCCAATTCAGTTCTAAACTTTTCAATTGCCAAGGCTAGTAATCGGTGGTGGGAAAAAGAATAAAAGGAAAAAATGAAAAAAAATTCAGAAAATTAAGAAAAAAATTTGCAAAAATCGTCAACGTTAGTATTAGCTATGCCACGTAGGATGACCGGCGTTGACTATACTTCTACATCAGCGATTTTCGGCCAAAATTAGCAGGAGTGACTGAATTGACAAACCATCAATATGTTTATGACTGAATTGACAGATCGTCAAAATGTTTATGACTAAATTAGCGCAATTGAAAGGTTTAGGACTAAAATTGACCGTCGTGTAATAGATTTATGACTTTTTGGACAATTTTCCCATACATGCATATAGAAAAAAGTTTCAAAAAAATCATAAATCTATTGCATTTGTATCAATTCGGTCCTAAATTTTGTAATAGGACCATTTTATTCCTTTTTATATTAGTATCAATTCAGTCAATTCGGCCAGTTTAGACCGAAAGTCATTGATGTGGATGTTGGCAGTCTTATTTAGCACGGTCGACATTGATTTGGATATTTTTAATAATTTTTTTTTATTTTTTAAAATTTTAATTGTTTTTCTTTTTATTTACTTTTTAGTAGTGCCCAGTCGCTGGCCACAGGCAATAGACCATGGCTGGCGAGGGCGAGGCCACCTTGGCTTGGGTGAGGGTCGGCCATGCCAAAAATAAAAGGGAAAGGAAAAAAAGACAAGAAAAAAAAGGAAAATTACAAAAAAAAACTATTACAAATGTCCATGTTAGCACAGACGTCATGTCACATAGGACCGTCGACGTCCACGTCAGCAATTTATGGTCTAAATTGGTCGGATGGACTGAATTGGAATCAATGTGAAAATGATTTATGACTAAATTGGTCCAATTGATATGTTGATGACTAAATTGGTATAAATGTAATAGGTTTATGACTTTTTTGGTACTTTTTCCCTTGCATATAGACATAAAAAAGAACAATAGCAATCATCATTTTGCACTTCTTATCTAAAAAGTCCTCGAAAGATTAAAAAAAATAGAAAATACAAGGTCGATCCTCTCGAGAAAACCAAACAACAAACAATTTATCTCTACCATGTGATAGGAGTCGATATATATATTATATACTTTGATATATGATATAAGCGGCAATATCGGAGTCCAGTGGTTCTCCATCGTGTATGAAACCAGTTTCTTGAATCTGTCGACAGCACTTGACAATAGTGGACACAAGATTTGATGGGCTTTTTGTCCTCTTTTCTACGTTTTGTCATTTAATGCGAAGTTTTGCAAACTAATTTCACTTCATTTCTCAGACTCCAAAAGTCCAGATGGTTTCATCAATTTTGTACCGACTTCGAAGAACATAACGTTGAAACTGAGACGCCCCATAACATGCCCCCAACGCAATCTGATAGGCAAAAAAGTCTCAGTTTTGGGTCGATTGCGTGCCACTATTTTCTCTTGCTTTTCTCTTCTTTTTCGGTGGTATTTATTTCTTTCTCTTGCTTTTCGAGTGCCTTTCTAGCTTTGCATAGCTGGCTAAAGGCGGCATGAATGTGCACGTGTCGCTTGGAATACGACTTTTTAAGCATCTCTTGTGCGGTTACGTGAAAGAAAAGGTTGTAATGTGTAGCCTGTAGATGGGGAAAAGGGAAAATTACTGATTTGACCTAATTGGGGGATGAGTCGACATTTTCCTTGATTAAAGTATAAAGACAAAGTAGATGCTGGCTATTTCGAAAGTGTATTTACCAAAGTCATGAGTGCTTGCCAAAGTGGGGCACACGTCATGTCCAGTAAGGGTGATTGGTTCCCGGGTGATTCGGTTCTCGGTCTAGAACCGAGAATCAACTAGTGACTTTCGATTTCAAATGGGAACTAGATCGAACGATTCTGGGACCGGATCGGACCGGCCGGTTTTACCTGGACTCGGGCCATGCATAGTTGGCCTGAGAAGGGTGATGCATGAGAGGTTGTAAAGAAGACCATAGTAGAGGCTTGAAGTGCTTGTGAAGAAGATGATAGCATAGGCTCTAAACGAATCTTGCCTTAGCCAACTCAAATCTAAGCTTGCTAGAGGCGAAGTGCGTTCCAAACGACCTACTCAACATGCTCGACGATTCGAAGGACGTCATGGACCGAGATCTGGTGATTTAAGGTCTCGATTTCATCATCACCTTTTACATTTACATGAGGTAACCTCTCCTTCTCCTAAACTTTGTAAGACACCCCCCCCAAAAAAGTCATAAGTGCTTCTTTCCATGCTTAATGGAAAATCGTATGAAATTGCTCAGTGCACATAATAATCTTTACTAAATTTTGAACTCGATGTGCAAAGTTTCTACTAGGAAATTTAAAATAACGTTTTCCTTTTACTTTAGTAGAAGAAATTGAATAAAGTTCAAGATCTTGTCTTGAACCCCACGCTGTACTAGCCCATTTCAAACACCTCTAAGAACATATTGCCACGTGATCTATACAAAATAAACCCGTTAGACGTTACCAAAGGGAAAGGTGAAATTGGCGAAAAAACAAAGGCATATCAAATTTTATATAACAAGCAACTATACATGCACAGATATGTGTGTGTGTGAATGTGCCAAATGCCACTACAATATATCAACCCGCATGGAAAATGTGGTCGGCCGACTTGCCCTTGCCGAACCCGCACACTTTCGATGTCAAAGCCACTGCATTATAATACCATAAAAAGATTGAAATCATGGGACCCTTCATGGCACATATGTTGGTATCCCTCTCCCTGATCGTCCACATGCAATTTTATATGACCAAATCAACTTTCATCACATTGACTAGAAGGGACGTACAAAGGCAACCTTCTTATCTCCGCTGAGCCACACAAGCCACGAAGCAGAGATGCTGCTGGTGTAATCTGTCGTGGAATCAAGAGAAGTTGAGTGACGGCTCGTGCGACAGCGATCTTCTTTTGGACCATGGTAACTTTGTTTTTTTCTCGATCTTTAGTTACAAGTAAAACAAGGCAGGAGCCAATGCGCGGACGGCCGACTTTCTTCGATGCACAACACCTCTTGTCCTAGTAAATCCCTTGATTACAACGGACGAGAGAACCATCACGGTATTTGTATTGGCCGGATGCTCTGAAAGTCCAGGGAATCTAACGTCGTTTGAAGACACGAGCACAGAGAGTCGCGTAACAATCCACCGTTAAGGTTGTAATATAGACTAATCTCATGGACTCCTCCCCTGGTTCAGAAATTGTTGGACCAATATCTGAGACATGGCCATCAGATAGAAGTAAAAAACAATCTGCTAACTTGATTCATCGGTCTTTTCATAATACAGTTCTAACTATTGGAAAAAATCAATCAAGCTGCAGAATCCAGCCATTCCTATCAGCCTCCGGTTCGTCTGGTTAACAAGTTTCCAAGACCAACGAATCGAAGCAAGCTCGCTGTTGGGCCGGTGCTGTCGCATGGCAATTCTCCAAGCCCGTCACAGGAGGTAGGATGGGATCATTTCATGCACCAATTAACAGATCCCTAATTTGTTTCAATTAGGTCGACAGTGATACAAATTACAAACTGCTCAAAGAGATTACAAACAATTTCAATCAAAGAAAGGAGGCTAAGTAAATCTTACGACTTATGACAGACGATGATCTTCCCTCCCTTGATTGCTAAATTGAACAGCCAGGTGTACGAATGCATTGGAAGAGTCGAGATCCCAAGTATCTACATGGTTGCCATCAACATAGCTCGGATCTTTGCTCTAAGGTCATTGGGAACCTCAGATGCCTCAGAGGGCAGAGATGGCGCCCTTGGTGCTTGAGATATATTTGATAAACCAGCCGAAGCTTCTCTGGCAATTCTGTCACTCTCAAGCACTTTCGACTCACCCGATCCTGCGCTTATCTCCCCTTCCTCCAACTCCTTCCTTCCTGAGTGAGATTTCCTATGCTTGCCAGATTTATTACGGTCTGTCTCATCGTTGTAGTAGTCACGATGTCTACGGCTATTAACGCGGCGCTGCTCCTCGTCGTCCGAAGAGTGATTGTGCTTGTGCCGATGATGGGGGGGCTTATGCTGGTCATCGGATGAGCCACCATGCTTATCATCAAAGCTGTCATGTCTATTCTGACGACGGCTATGCCACCGCTTGTCATCAGAAGAGCCATCATGCTTATCATCAATGCTGTCATGTCTATTCCGACGATGGCTATGCCGCCGCTCGTCATCAGAGGTATCATGTCTATGCCGGCGACGGTGATGCCGCTGCTTGTCATCAAAGCTATCGTGTCTAAGCTGATGGTGTTCGTCATCCGAGCTATCATGTCTATGCCTATGCCGAGACTCTTTGTCCTTGGAAGAAGAATGTCCTTTCCGGTGCCTATGCCTCTCTTTACTAAGGTCTGAACGGTGAGATCGTCTCTTCTTCATTGAGTGCTTGTGATCCCTTTCTTCATCTTTATCTCCCCTCTCTTCTTCTTCTTCTTGCTCTTCCTCATCTTCCTGTTCTTCGTGTCTTTCTGCTCTTGAACGGTACTTTCTCTTTGATCGTCGCTCATTTTGCTCATTCCCTGATGCTTTCCTTTCAGACTTCTGATTTATGTCTGAGTTGCCAAAGTCAACTGGAAAGGAACTGCCCTCTCTTTCATGGCCGGAAGTATTTGGAACCCCAGTCGAACCAGAAAGTCCAGAGTCAGGTGGCTCCACTGACAAGCCTTGTGATAATTGAGTCTTTGATGGTGCGGCTCCAACCTTCAACAAGGCTGCAAACATCTTTGCACGTTTCAACCTTTCAGCCTTGAGCTTCTCTTCTTTAGTCAAGGATGCTTCAGAGGAGTCCGCCTCACTCGCAGCCACAACAGCTGCAGTCCTTGCAATAGCCTCATCAGATGGGAGAGAAATAGTATTTTCAGCTTTCTTATCTGGATTTTGCAGATGGGCAAAACTTGAAGCCTCTCCACTCTCGCTGCCTCGTGCATGACTGTTAGCGTCTAATGATGTTTTTGGGAAAATACCCAGAGTGGGATTCTTAATTCCCCGTCTAGCGGCTTGAAGTATAGCGGCAGCTGCGGCTGCATCAACACTTACCCCCATTTGCTGTTGGTGGTCTCTGGAAGGTTGATCCTGACCATCCTTCTTACTCTTGCCAATTACCATCTTAAACTTCCCTTTGCGATCTGACTCGTACGGTATATCCGATCCAACTGATTGACTATCGCTGTCCTTTGAGAGCGCAGCATTCTTTTCCATCTCATGACCTGCTGCATCAATCTTCTCCGGACTCAATTTCTGTCCTGGTAACTTTGACTGTGATTGAGAGCAAAATTTAGAATATAAGAAAGATAAGAACAGGATAAGTCATTGAAGACCGTTGAACGATTCAAAGAAAACAACATTGCGGTCATGACTTTTTCGTTTACCGCGGGTCAAGGCCACAAAAAACCAATTACAAAATCTAAACTTGCACAGAAATCAACAATCGTATCAGCACATCTCAGAAACAAATCAGGATAATAGAAATTGAGTTTACCAGCAATTCAACACTTAATGAATTAGAAAACTCATTGAGGCCGAAAAGCTTTCAAATATCCACTTTTTTCTAACACTGGCAGCCCAACATATCAGTGTATCTCACCAGCCATATTGCGTTTCAAAATCACTTATGCATTTATCCTTAGCTTATACTTTTTTCTTTGCATTTAAAATTTGACTTGTAATTAAGTCATGCAGAATTTTGGTAAATGTTTTTAAAATTTCTTCGTATTTTAATTTTTTTGGTGGTTTTGGCCGGAAAGCCATAGTGATATTTTTTACTTTTTTAAAGTTGAATCAAACATCAGCTTCCTTCAATAGGATACAATCTACACTAACATATGCAGAAACAACTACTGGATACAAAGGCTCATTCGCTGGATATATCAAAAAATAACCATAAAAAGACGGTATAAGTTCAATCCTCATAAATTTCTCAGCAAACATGTGGGGTCTTCAAAATCATCAGTTGAAGTACTTCATAGCTCATACAAAAACCGCAGTGAAAACATTGAAATACTATCGACAAAATTTAAACACTAACATACCTGTTGAGCTTTTCTAAGCACTTTCAAATAGTAAGGATAATACTGATTAGACGGCAGAAGAAAGGGAAACCTCCCATGATTTTTATCTTGCTCAAAGAGAACAGATTCAAATGCCTCTCCATTTTTCACAATGAACTCCACTATTTTATGAACCAATCGCTTGACATCAGATGGAGGCTCCAAAAGAGGTTGCTCAACCTTCTTTGAATTTGGTAAAGAAGAGGACTTCACAGCAGCAGTACTGGACAAGGTTTCGCCACCTTTTTTTGTTGCAAATTCAGCTCCAGCTTTAACTGTAGAAGTTGAGCAGTTCTTTTTAACTGTGGAAGCCTTTTCTTTCGTAGATAAATGTGGTGGATGTTTGGAAATTGATCTTTCCTTCCCAGCTACATCAATGGATGGCTCTTTACAGTCCAATCCATCAGAACTGGGCTCAGCAACAACATTAATTTCCTTAGGCTTGTCTTCTTCAAGTTCAGGCCTTAGCTCAGTTATTTCGTCTTCATCGTCTCCAGATCCATATGTAGCACCAAGCAAAGACAGTGCACCACCAGTATCTTCCTGCCCACCATCCACTGTATTCTCACCTTCTAAAGATTTTTCTTCTGTATCGGACTTAAGAAGTTCTTGGTGATCAACAAGAAACTGGAAGTATGCATGAAGATGATGATCCGGTAACAAGAACCCAAACGTTGGGTTGTCACCCTGTTTCACCCTCAAAATAATCTCCGATTGCCCACCATGTTTACCAACAAACATAGCAGTTCTTGCAATGATCTGATGTACCTTCTCAGTCGGAGGCTGGACAAAACAACAAAAAGATTCCTCAAAAACAGAAGTAAATGAAGTGCCAAGTAAAAAAAAAAAAATAATGAACAATACCAAGTTATACCACTGAATTTTACATAACGTGGGGAACTACAAAGATCAAGAAATAAAACTCTACGGAGATGCGCTTCATGAGATAAGCTCCAAAGTGGGTAAGATTCCAGATAATGCAGGAAAAATACTATCATTCTAAGCCCACCTGCGAGGCCCCTTGCTCATGACATCATAAGAAAACAAGGTGCCCAAGAATGGCAACCTTGGCTCAGATGAACTCCAGCTGTGCTCCAAGCATCTGAAACTTAGACATCGTAAGCCTTAGAACGACACATGCACTTCATTCAACTATCATTTGACCACAGTGAGTGATAGCAACACGGTCAATCGACATCAAGATCACATGATATATGAGGCATGTAAAAGGATAAAAAATTCACATACCAGGTTTTGAAGCAAAGATTCCGGAACTGGGAATGGAGGACGGTATCCGGAATCAGCATCTGTTGTCTTCTGATCCATGGCATCATCAGGTTTTCCATATGAGAATGCCACAGCACGATATCCACCATCATTTGCTGTTTCTGTCCCAGTTTCTGCATCTGGCTCTGCATGTAGAGGAAAGAAGATTTTAAAAGGGAACTTTGCTAAATATTCACATAGAAAAATTGCTGAAGAGCTAAAATTAAAAGGACAGAAATTGCAGTTTGAGTAATGAAACTCAAGGGCAAGAAGAACATATTCTTACTTGACTTTCTGAAAGAAGGAACTGTCGCTTACTACATTCGATCCTGCAAACTTGAAATGAATGCAGAAAATATAACAATTTGAACAAGGAGAAACAGAAAACATCAAAGGTCATTCATTTATTTGGTGATGAAGAATTTACTCTAAGAATGTCTATGCTTAACCAGTCACTACTAGGGTTGTCTCCTTTGTTTTTATTTATAGGCAAGGGCAAAAGGGAGAAGTAGGAATCTAGCCCAAGAAGTCTCGGTATTGATAAGGATGTTACCACATTTAGAACTTAGATGGACAAGTTCTTTTACTGCAATTAGCCAGCCCAACATTGACTTGAAAAGGGAGGCTTGACTTGCACCCTCAAGGAATAACAAAGAGATTGAAAGGAATCCCCAATCATAAACAGATAGTCAAGAGAAGGAAATGAGCCGTGGACAGGGCAATCCATCAGAGACCAGATGTTTGAGCTAGAGACTGTAAAATAAGGACCAAGAGCAAATGCATCTTACTTATATAGATCCAGGAACAAGTTCATGAAGCTCAGTTCATACAGGAAAAACACCAGTATTTCTCTAAGCGCTCTTTGAATTTCTTTATTGCCGAATACATAGCCAGCGTAACCACGCTCTCGGGTTCAATCTATTCTCTGGCCCAATACTAAAAATCTAAGACAGCCAAAGCTAGTTCCCGCTAACCTGAAAAACCAATTCTTTTCAAATTCTCAAATCATGACTGCAAGCACTCGGATTGAGTCACATGCCAACAGCTTCAGGCTCCATGTAGATGCAAATTCTTAGCAAAAACACTAGAAAAAAGGTGCGAGCACCAACTGTAGCTAGCTTAATGCTACTACTTCATGGTGACACGAAGGTGTTGAGTGCAGAAGCCATGGCACTTAGAAAAGCTCTTGATTTGTCGACCAAGAGAGAGACATTTATCAGAGAAAGAGCAATTAAACACAGCTAACTCAAATCCTCATCTAGATTGATACACAATAAGCCAACAACACCTCCTCCGCCGTTAACTAACAAATCAATCACCATCAGAGAAATGATCCTTCGCCATCTCCAAAGTAAATAATGCTCCCTTTTCCGGATCATCCAACAATGATTCATAACAATTGCAACTTCAAACTGGAAAAGGAAACCGAGAGTGGAAGAAGATTCTTTTCTCGCCCAATACCTTGATCATCGGTCGTCGTCGTCGGCGGCGGCAAATCCAGGTACCTCTCGCGATCGAGCTCCGGCTCCACCGAGGAGTCCGCCTCGGCCGCCGCCGCCGCCGCCGCCGCCGGAGGAGGCAGGGGGCGGCGGGCCCTGCGGGGCGGCGGGGGAGCGGAGAGGAGGTGGCGCACGTCGTAGCGGTCGATGGAGAGGGAGTGCCAGGCGACCAGGGCGTCCGGCGAGTTCACGAACGCCGCCATGGGGTCGTCGTCGAAGAGGAGCGCGTGGCGCCCGACGACCTCCAGATCCATGATCGGCGCCTTCTCCGCCGTCGGATTCACAGAGAGAGAGAGAGAGAAGAGAGAGAGAGAGAGAGAGATATCACGTCGAAGGAAAGAGAGGACCGATTCGTGCGTCGAGTTGCATCTGCGAACGCAATGTGGTTGGATCTGCCCGATTAGGGTTTATATCCGACCCGGAAGAAAACAGAATCGGGTTTTGCATTTTGGATTAACGGGTTCGGGTTTGGATTTTGGGTCGGTTTGTTTGTTGGATAGTACATCTATTGATATGGGCCCAATGGATGACGCCTTCAAATTTTTTTTTTTCGGGGTCATTAGATCTTTTATGTTTTCTCTGTGTCCGAGACTCGTCGAGCACATGATCAATCCGCCGGGTTAGGGCAATCCTTTAGTTCCGCCGCAATCAAGTAATACTCGAGATAGGAGAGGACTTTAGAGGCGCGGCCTCACACGAACAATCTTAACTCGATTTTAGAATTATGGCGCAAATTGCTGAAGAGTGGAATGCTTTCGATTGCTCTTGCTTTGATCTCGATTTTAATTAACTTGATGATCTTTTAGACTTCTTCTAACACTTTTGATTGCTCTTACTTTGAGGAAATTTGAAGTCTCTTTGAAGCTTCTAATCGCGATTTTAATGCCTATTCTGTTACGCTCGAATCAACGAAAATTTTGTTTCGCTCTGTAATTAGACCAAACGTGGGGCAAAAATAAAAATGAGGGCAAATCGCATTTCCTATTTAAATTCGTTTAAATGGCCCACCCTTTGATTTAAGGGGGCAATTGGCGTTTATATACACATTACTCCAAGAACCCCTTTGCATTATATATTTTCAGCAAGTCCACCTCATAAGAAACAAAAACTAGAATCAGAGATTACCGAGATGGTTAAGAAAGTATTGGAAACATGAAAACTTAGAAAATGAGAAAAACAATGGATAAATTGATTGGTTTACATCGATGTTACAACCATGGTCTACATATAAGCCAAAGTTAAGTTAGAGAAAACTCGGTCTAATAGTTCATATCACGAATCTAGACAAATTTCATCACGTAATATGCTAAATATCTGAATGATTTTATAGAGTATGTGATATATTATCTTCATAATATTTAAAAGATATCTTTAACACGGCCCCCTCAAATTCAAGTTGTTTGTCTAGATTAACTTGAATTTGGAGAATCACCCAAATTTGCAAACTTTACCACTTACTCAAAGGCCGCCTCATACATCCCTTAGGGTTTCCCCTCTTCTAAGCCGTCGCCCAGGCCTCTTCTTCCGAAGCTTCATTCTTGAGGGAGAGAGCCTTATCTCTCTATCTCTCTGTCTCTTAATCTTCAAGCCTTCTTTGTTGATTTCGCAGATGTCGCGATCGACATCCTCCACGGAAGTGGAGAGGTTTGTCCTGTGAGATTTGAAGATCAAAGCGCTAGCGCCATGAAAGAATTTGTTCTCTTCGGATCTGCTCGCTTACTCCGGCTCTGGGTGCTTGCTAGTCAAGTGCTCTGCATGTCTCCAAGGCTCCTTTGCTACTGCCTTCAGCAGTCAGCTTATCTAACAGTGATTTTGTGATCAATTGGTATTTCTTTTGTAGCTCCTCTCCCGATCTAGATTTGAGTGATCCCGATCTAGATATAGATTTGGGATTTACAAAGCATTTTTTTTTTGTTATCTCTATACGGCGATGGTGCTGGGGATGCATTTGGCAAAGCCGTAATTACTGGAGAGGGAAATGTCGGTGTGTGCTCATCACTGATGATGATGCGAGATTTGATAATCGGCCGCCGATTATGCTTTAATGCTATGACCCATCCGTCTTTATAGAATAAGCAAGTCTCTACATGCTGCACCAAGTTGATTCACTTTCAGATTTACTTATTTTGTGGAATTTGCATTTTTATCTTGAAGTTATGTACATCTCTTTCACGTGAAATGAAAATTTTCCATCCGACTAAAGAGAAAGAAAACGGGGTACGGATGGATTCTATGGCATTTCCAACTAAAAAAAACTTATATTTCAAATTACTATAATGAGAAGACCACTACACACTATGTAAATAAGCTCTGCGAGAGAAACATGTCAATAATATTTTGCAAACGAGCGTTCCTCGATCGTCATCTACCAAAGCTGTGCACACAAATCATTTGGAAAATAGGGAGTGGGACTCTAGATGAATCTGCGTTACGTCCCTGTCTAAATGGAGATCTATCTAGCTAGGGAAGACATAGCAGTCTTCACGAGCTCTCCCGAAATTCCTAATGAGTTAATTAAAGCATAAGATCAGAGTTACATTGCTTAAATCCCTGCATCCTACCATCGCACAACACGTCGACTCCATTAGGGTTTCTCGTACGCTGTTTTCTCCTTCCCTTCTCTTTTCGCTGGCACCTCACATAAATAATCACAAGGACAATATATATTCACCCGAAAGATAACAAAATAAAAAAATAAATAAATAAAGCAGTTTAACTTTGGTTTGTAACGTGCAAAGTGACATCATATCGTGAATCAATCTGTCGATGCCACACGTTCGTCGCTCCTAAATACGATGCATGTTTCGTGTTGCAGACAAACTGCGTGTAATCATATGGTAATAACCCATGAGTGACATTGCAGACAAACTGCGTGTAATCATATGGTAATAATCCTTGAGTGACAATTAATTTAGGAGAGATTTAATGGTGTGGAGATTCAGAGAAACTGGCTGTACGCAGGAGACCCCCAACTCCGTCGTATTAGTCTGACTTTGGGCTCGTTTCCTGGTTTACGAATCAAGTCGCTTAGCCAGAGGTTTTGCTTAGTTAAACAAGCCTTGATTATTTTTTTCCTCTATTCTTAAACGCTCGCCGCCTTTACTTGGCCTCGCAGCATGCCCCTCAGATCTTCGCAGCGTCGCCCGTTCGACAAGCTAAATTTATTAGCCTTTGGGTAATCCTGCTTTGAGAGGAAGATATCGACCTTCACATGCCCGTATTGCCCTTTTGACTATGGTATCGTGTGGTCAAACTAGTTGTGTTTCTTTCTTTAGAAGGGGTGTAAACTTTCACCGACCCTCGTTAGAACTTTTGGATGTTAATCACCAGCGGATCACACGAGTTGTGATTCGAAAGCGAGCCAAGCCAGGGAAGATCAATGCCTGAGGGAAAGATATCAGTTTGATCACATCCTCATATACAATTTGATCATAAGGGTCAGCCCAAAACCAATAGCAATCGCACACACATTAAAGATGACTTCGTGTCCTAACTACATCATCTTTTTTCTTGTTTCTGGTAAGTAACCGCTATTTGATCAATACCAAGAAAGGGAGGTTGGCTGTATTATCTTAATTAGTAATCGATACATCCGTCGTTCCAACTCTGTGAATATCGATTTTTTGCTAACTCAAGTTTTGATTTTCAATCTATTTCCTGATGAGGTACGAATTAAAGCAAAATCTTGCCTTTCAGAAGCATATGATGCGTCTTTGGTGCATTGAAGTAAACATTAACAACTTAAAGGGCAAACTCAAGTTTAAGAAGTTGAGTGTACCATTCTGTCAAAATAAAGAATCTTATTTAGGTCTTAGTGTTCACTCAATAAACTCACATATGGCTCATAGCTTCCATGAAAGGTGACTTGCCCTTAAATCAATGCGAAGTCCTTGCAATTTGGCACTAGCCCCCCCCCACCCTTAGGAGTAGTTTCGTCCTTTTGCAAGAAAGAAAGCTAGACACCTCAAAGAAAGAATTGAAATTACTCCAATAAAATAAGTTGGCGTTCGCACATAAAAGAAATAAAATGACCTTGAAGACACTCCTCGTTGGGATATCCAAGAGAAAAAACCCCTTTTTACCACCATTCCCGCGTCAACTCCTCCCTCGAAGTGCCCCTGTAAACCCCTCACCTCTTATATTCAAATCCCCCTCAGGAAAACCTTCACAACCTAGAATAGCAAGAGAAAAAAGAAAGAAAAAGAACGCGCCTCTCTTCTCTTCCTCTCTCCCTCTCCCTTTCCCTGACTTCTCAGAGCCATGGCATCAACTGCGAAGGTGATCTTGGCGATCGCCCTGACTATGGCTTTGAGCGTTGCCATCACCATGCGAACCCTCGTCGAAGAAACGGAGGAGAATCCGCCGTTCAAGAGCATGGACCCCACGACAACGCCCGATGCGTCGGCCGAGATCGCCCTGCCTTCTAAGAGATTGAGCCGCTTCCTCGCAGATGACAAAAACCCTAGAGCCGCGGACCACTGCAATAAGGACGGCGAGATTTGCCATGCTCTGGGCGAAAACTACACTTGCTGCAACAACAAATGCGTCGACCTGTCCAACGAAAAGAACAACTGCGGCAAATGCAAGAACAGGTGCAAATACACGTACTCGTGTTGCAGCGGACAGTGCGTGGACTTGACTTACGACAAGAGGAACTGCGGAAGCTGTGGCAACCGGTGCCCTAGAGGTGTCTATTGTTTCTATGCGATGTGCAATTACAATGGTTAGGGTGGTCCATTTTGGGTCCGTTGTGTGAGGGTTGGCTCGTCATACTATTCTTAATGCAATAAAAGAACCACATTGGTTTGTGGTTAAGGTTTATACGTATAAAAAAAAAACACAAACATGCTATTTTACTTCTTTGCAAACGTTCTCTTTAATTGTAATGCTATACTGATTGCTGAACTTTAAATGTGTATGTCTATGAATCGTTTGTTGCTTGTGGTTATCCATTATTAAACTTTAAGTCCTTTCTTTGGAAGTAGAGGGACTCCTATCACTTTTTGCAAGGGTGATCATATCTATGTGTTTGCTGAGGTACCTTGTTCTCTTTGAATCTCTAGTTCATGTTAGAGTCGTTTTATACTGTCCGACCAAACGTATCGTTAAAAGGTCAAAGCTAATTGTTTTCCAATGTTAATTGCATTTAGCCTATAATTAAAAGGTCTAATCATTCACCCACAACAAACAATGATCATCCTTGTAACTGCTTCTCTCCATTCTACACATGCAATATGTGATCATGTTTTCAGCTAAAGTTTGCTTTTGGTGCTAATGGGGTTCAGTATCGATCCATTGCTCTCCTACCAGAGAGATCCCGCTAGATAATCCCCACGCCAGCCAACTTTTAAGTCTATTCCATCTGTCAAAATGTTTTAGACGTATAGTGGCAGCCTTCTTTTCATAGGCTTATTAAAAATTGTTTTACAAAATCGATGTATCAAGTGATGTGCGAAAGTCTCCTTTAGGATTTTGATATTCAACTTTTACTTAAATGCTCACTCGCCGCGTGCTCTACACTTGACATATATACTAATTTACCTAGAATAACTCCTCCATCGTACAGGTCAATTAGAATGTTTTTGGACAAGCACTTGTAATCTTCATAAACAAAACTATTCGAGCACATTAAAACAACCATCTTGTCAATTCTAATCATGCTGTATAACTTATATGAAATCATATAATAAGTTATATGTCCGGCTTAAAGTAGATACCCGCGGTTTACATGATCCAGTTTACAAACCTACCGACAGACTAATAGAAGAAGACTTATAAAGTTAAATTTAATGACCGGTAAGATTGGAGACATAAGAAACTCAACGCAGCATGTGAAGGAGAGAGAGGCGCATGAAAATTTCATGCCACATCTCTTCTCAATCAAGAATGGATTCATCATAAAACAACTCAGTCAAGGTGTGCCCTTGGATTCTCAGGTGTGGAATGTTTGAACAAGAAGCAAATCCCCATTTGCGAATGAAGCGTTGAATGTTAGTTTAATCAAGTTGCCAAGAATTGGAGACTAGAGAGCTGGCTATTGATAGGATGCTTCCTTTCTAAAAAGCGTTACTTCATCTACACACACCCCCTCATGTTATCAAGCGACTTAAGACAAGTCGTGCAAGTTCATAACACAGAGAGTCAGCTCAAGGGCGGTTCTCAAAAACTAAAAACCCCCCACGAAGGTCGCATAGAATCACATGATCTATTACGTAATTATGGGAACAAGCTCTACATTGAGGAGAGAGATTAAAAATTTAACTTTAGTAATGATTATTATCATTCATCACCTGCGGAATAGGAACTATATGTCGTGGAAAAATTTTTCAAGCTGCGCGCCCTCTTTAAATACATCTTCTGCTTTCTTTTTTTCCGCTGAAAAACAAAATAAAATGAAAATTAGAGCAAGGATTTTTTAAATAAAACCAGATTAGCATGAAAGAAACTTTCTGAGCTTATGGGTTTTGTTAATAATGGGCCGCCCATGTTGGGCTAACCTAGCCCGTTAATCTTGAAAGGGTCCATGAGAGAGAAATAACCGCCGAGACAGTTATTTGTGGGAAATTGCAAAATGAACAAAAGAGTGAGGCAGAAAAGTTACGTACGTTTTGTCAGTCAATTTTTGGCATTCACACTCACAACAAGAAACTCTCTCACTTGAAAGCAAAAATGCCCTTACTCGACGACCGAGAATCGCACTCTCTCGACGTTGCAATTGGAGCATTTAATCCGTGGAAAACAAGGTATGTTCTTCTTGGTGATGTACTTTAGACGATCGGTGATTCAAGTTCTCTTGGGCACGTTTCCGCAAATGTTTTGATATTACTCAATAGTTCGAGTTTTAATCTTTTAAGAATTTATTTCCGTCTTTCCACATTTCTAGGAATCCATTTCTGACATTGGTATTAGAGCATGTGTTCTTGTTTCATGATCATTTAACATGTTTATAAAACAGATTGCTGGCCGGAATTCGTGAAACGGCGTCGATGAACGCTCGGGTACGAAAAACCGACACCCGATCGTATTTTTCGGGATCGTTTCTCGAAGTTCCGCGCGATAAATTTTTTTTTTTAAAAGTGTAGGGTCATAGTTCTCGTTGAGATGAAAAAAAAAAGACGGGTGGCATACCGCCGGGGGAGTTCGGATGTGCCTCCACGTGTGGCCGCAAGCGGCGGCTCGCCAACACGTGCGTAACGGTTACCGCATGTGCGTGTGTAGCACGTGCTATAGGTGTGCATGTGGACGTGGCTGATGTCAGCCACGCCGATTATTCTCTCGGGCTGAAAGGCCTGGCTTGACTCGGCAAGCCTCACTCAACCCGGTTGGTCCGATTCGACCCGATTTTCTGACCCGATGACCCGACCTGCAGAACCGTATGACCCATTGACCTGACCCGGTCATTTGTTGATCGTTGACCAACATTGACCACCGTTGACTGGCATTGACCAGCGATGACCTTTGTTGACCACCAAAAAAGAGGGGGGGATGAAGGGAGTAGAATGTGTTTCTTGCAATATTATATCATTGATTAAAAATTAATCCTTTGATTTTTTCTACATTCGTTGCAGGAACGATGGTACGAAGGTATTGAACCCCTATTATCCATAGGACAGCCAAACAAGGGGCATACATAGAGAGGAAGAGAAGAGAGCTAGTTGGCTGTTTTTAGAATGGCCATACTGATATGTTGACCCATGTTATTAAAGTCAACAAAATGATACAAGAAGTCATTTGACACGAAGGCTTGATGACAGAAGATATGAAATTTAATTATTTTTATGACACTCTTCCTAGACAAGAGCAAATGGTGTTCCTTAATGTTTTCGAGAACTCTAAAACATTGAGATATGATAAGATTGTAGAAGCCTTCCTGAGAAGATACATTAGGGTCATGGCAACAAGAACGTCAACACGTGGGATGAATTGGTGCAGAATGAATGCGCTGTGGTGCAAACCTAAGGGAATTGCAAGGGTCTTTTCTTGGTTGGGGAACAGTTCGAAAGAACTTCCTAAGGAATTTTATGATTCCATCCCGGTTCTTTGCAAAGAGATTAAGACCTAATGTTATTTATTATTTTAACTTTCGTAATCATTTATGGATATGTTCACTTTAGGTTAGTTTTAGATATCCTAGGTGGATATTACTGTTCATGTTGATGTTGATGTTTCTTTCCTATGCTGGATTCGTTCCTTATGAAAATAGTATTTAGTGAATGAATGTTGATGGAAATTTTTTATTGTGAATAGTTTATGGTACTATTCTATTATAATATCTGTCTTATTAGTGTCATGTGGTTGAGTGGGAGTTCTAAAAGTTTTTGTAACGTTAAAGAACGTAATTTGACCTTAATGATTATATTAACGATAATTTCAAATTACAATTTTAGATGATAATTGGGAACATATTGAACTTTCGAATCTAAAACCTATGTGAAATTACTCATTAATATAATCAGTTTGTGTAAAATTGATGCATAAATGAGTGGCATTAATAATTCGTGCGTATGTGTCTGAAATGTTTAGATACCATGGCTTCAGCAACTAAGAACATAGTAGCTAAACTGATCAAAGGAGAAAAATTGAACGGCAAAAATTATGAAATATGAAACATGAAAATCCAATATGTGCTAAAAGAACAAGAGGCACTAGAAGTTCTTAACTAAGTTATGAAAGAACCTAATGATGGAAATACTGCACAACATAAGAGAGATAAAGAGGCATTTACTGCTTGGAAGAAAAAGAACTCGATTGCTCGCATCACGTTACTGAGTAGTGTGGAGAATGACATCATGCGAGAGTTCAGGCGTTTGAGAATGCCAAAGAAATGTGGGAAGCATTAGCAGCAAGATTTGATCATACATCGGTGACCAAGCTAAGAGAACTCACTATAGGGTTTGACTCGTATAAGAAGCCTCATGGTCAGTCCATGAAACAACACCTCAGAAAGATGTCGAACATGATTAATGAGCTGAAGGATGCCGGACACATTCTGACTGATGAGCAGCAAGTGCAAGCAATGATTTGTTCCTTGCCTCAAAGCTGGGAGTACATGAAGGTGCACCTGAGCCATGATGAGAATATCAAGACCTTTGAAGATGTCATGCGCCATTTTGAGTTGGAAGATGATCGCCTCCTGGTGACGAAACTAGAAATCGACATCTATTATGCTGGTTCTAGCTCACATGGGGCTTCGAGCTCCAAGCACAAGCGTGTCGAAAGGTTTATGAAATGGAAAGGCAAGGGAGCAAGTTCTTTGAGTAAGAAACCAAAATTTAACCAACATGATAACGAAAAGCGTCCTTTTGTTAAGAAGATATCAAGGGTGAAGTGCTACAACTGTAGCAAGAAGGGCCACTTCGCTCGCGATTGTGGCGAGCCAAAAAAGGTAAACACCCCTTGCATTCTTGAGAACTTTGCTTATGTGTCAAGTTCTGTATTTCTAACTGAGTCTAATCCTTTGTGGACTGTAATTCAGGAGCCACAGACTATGTAGCAAAAGACAGAGATGCCTTGGTGGAGTTCCGACTGATTTCGATCGGAACGAAATGGATCTATGTAGGGAACAACTCCAAAGCTGAAGTTAAAGGGATTGCCACCTGCCAGTTAATGATGTGTGGTTGACGCATATTGTTCCTACATGACGTATTATATGCTTTGGAGATTCATCGGAATTTAGTGTTTGTATTAGTGTTGGTTAAACTTGGTTTTAATTTGAACTTCATAATAGT